GATTTTTCTTGCAAACTTTCCTTAAAGCAGTGATAGTATCAGCTCTTTAAATAATACTATGCGTGATGAAGTGGTACTTTTCGGGATAATTTTAGACCAGCAGACTTGCTGCTTGAAGGGGACAGGGCTATATTTGGTAATAATATATATGTGATAATATGTATGTGATATTATTATAATGTAATATGCAATAATATTTGGTGTATCTGGTGGCTCTCAGGCCAGTCTTTGATCGAACCTCTCAAGCTATGATTTATATTATGGTCAATATTAGCATAATGCAATTATCAGCAATCACTTGCAGTTGCTTTGAAAGTCAGAAGGATGGCTAATAAAAATCTTAGGAAACAGGCCGGGCATGGTGGCTCAGCCTGTAATCCCAGCGCTTTGGGAGGCCGAGGCGGGTGGATCATGAGGTCAGGAGAACAAGACCATCCTGGCCAACATGGTGAAACCCTGTCTGTACTAGAATACAAAAAAAAAAAAAAAAAGAGTTACCCGGCGTGGTGGTGCGCGCCTGTAGTCCCTGCTACTTGGGAGCTGAGGCAGAGGAACTGCTTGAATCTGGGAGGTGGAGGTTGCAGTGAGCCGAGATCGTGCCACTGCACTCCAGCCTGGTAACGGAGTGAGACTCCGTCTCCAAAAAAAAAGAAAAAAGAAAAAAAGAAAAGAAAATCTTAGAAAAAGAAGAAAATTGTAATATTTCAGAATATTTGTTGGGGAGGATATATGTGCTCAAGAAATACATACTGAGAACTTTGCTAGAGATTGAATTGCCCCATGTCTATATGAAAAATGAATAGAATATAAACATTTTAAATTGAGCCATGTCTCTCTGTAGTATATTTCTTTTATAGAAATTCATGGAAATGGTATCTTTTAACTGAATTATTAACATTGGGGGCAATAGGCTTTAATCATTATCTAATACCTGTACGTTGTTTTGAAATTCATAGCCCACCACCATTAGTTTCAAAATTGGGTTCTTACTCAAAGAGTGACGAAAAAGCACCAGTACCAAATGGTCTGGCTAAAATGCCACATGGAACTAAATGCTGGAGATGGTCATACAATGAGTTTTAAGTGGCTAGACCCTAAATCAGAAGCACTTTCTTCTAATTAGCACCATGGTTCTTAATCCTGTCTATGCATTACAATCACTCAGTAGCTTAATACAAATGTTGCTTCCCGGGGCCACACTCCAAATTTGTCTGACTCTCTGATTTAGTTGGTCTGAATGGGGCCTACACATCTGGTATTTTTTAAAAGGTCTCCAAGCGATTCTAATGTGTACCTCCATTGAGGACCAGGGAAGGTGCAGGAAGCCTGATAACCTTTACTCTCCAGCCTCATCCTCCAATCGCATGATTGTTTATGGGATTGTTGCTGCACACCCAGCTTAGTCATAGCATTCTTACTCTAGCTTTTTTTTTAGATGCGATGTTTATTTATTCTTTAAAAAAAAAAGATTTCTTTAGCACCTTTATTCTGAAGAGCTCTTAATTGCTGTACTTAGAACTTCTAAACAGTGAGCATTTGTCAAACATAGAATAGCAGAATAAAGGGGTTGGACCTGGGGTGAGGAGGGCTGTCTCATGGTCTCCTTCGAGTGCTGGCGGGTGGGGGCTGCACGTCTCCTTACTTCTGGGCCCATTGATAACTGACCTAAAAGTGCCTTTCTTTTTTTTCGGTGGGGGGTGAAAAAGTAATCTGTTTTGTACCCACAGCAGTACTTTAAACAGGAAGCCCCACTGGGGCCAGCCTTCTATGTGTCATTAAGTTTTTCAAGCTACATCCTACTTATCATCATGCACCCATGTCATCGTTCTTTTAAAAGGGTGCTAGTTGTGTGCTTAAGGACAAGGAGCTGTGACCTGTGTTGTCATCCCTGACACATGTCCTGTGTATGACTTCGTGACATGTGGATGACTTTTGATCTCTGAAGGATCAGGAACCCAGTCTGTGGATCTTCACTCCCTCCCTGGGTGGTTTGGGTCTTGTTCTCTAGCCCACCCACCCAGGTGCGATTAGGAATAAAGGAAAGAGAAAAGGAATTTTCCTCAAGGCCATGCCAAGCATTTCATCTTATATGAAAAAGAAAAGAGAGTGAGAGAGAGAGAGTGTGTGTGTGTGTGTGTGTGTGTGTATGTGTGTGTGTATGTGTTGGCTACATTTAGGTAGAAAACAGGCTGGTGAGAAGCGTAGAACTTGGTTAAAATTTCTAGCCAAAGTAAGATTTTTAAAAAGATTTATTTCTGGATCCAATCCCTGTTGCCCATTTCTATGAATAATCACCATTTGTTTTAATGTGAATAATAGCACAGAGCAAATTCAGCCCCCTGAGTTTTACCATTTTAAGCGATTGCTTTAGGCCCATGAGGCATGTACTATTTATGAAGTTGCATGGGTAGTAATGGAAAAAACAACAATGACAGTAGTAACAGGTGACATTTATTGAAACTTGCAATGTGCCAGGCACTGTGCTGAGGGCATTACTTGCATTATTTCATTTAATCCTTACAAGAACTCTTTGAATTAGGTTGGTAATTATGCCCATTTTACAATTGAGGAAACTGAGGTTTGGAGAGGTCAAATAACTAGTCAGTGGAGGGGTCAGGTTTTTCTTTTTAAAAAATTTATTTGTTTTTTTTTTTAGGAGACAGGGTCTTGCTCTGTTACCCAGGCTGGAGTGCAGTGGTACAATCATAGCTCACTGTAGCCTTGAACTCCTGGGCTCAGGCGATCCTCCCAGCCCAGCCTCCCATGTAGCTGGGACTAGAGGCGTGAGTCACTATGCCCGACTCATTTTTAAATGTTTTTTATAGAGATGACTGGGTGTGGTACCTGTAATCCCAGCACTTTGGGAGGCTGAGGTGGGCAGATTGCTTGAGCCCAGGAATTCAAGACCATCCTGGGCAACATGGAGAAACCCTGTGTCTACAAAAAATACAAAAATCAGCTGGGATGTGGTGGTGCGTGCCTATGGTTCCACTTACTTGGGAGGCTGAGGTAGGAGAATCACTTGAGCCCGGGAAGTTGAGGCTGCAGTGATCTGTGACCACCGCACTCTAGCCTGGGCATTGGAGTGAGACTGTCTTTCAAAAAATTATTTATGTATTTTTTAAAATAGAGACAGGGTATTGCTGTGTTGCCCAGGCCCGTCTTGAACTTTTGGCCTCAAGTGATCCTCCTGACTCAACCTCCCGAAGTGTTGAGATTGTAGGCATGTGCCACTGTGCCCAGCCTGAGATTTTGATCAGAGGAGCATGACTCTGGGCGTTGACTCATTTGGCTGTCCTACAGTGTGAGTGTGGAAAGCTGTCACTGGAGTACAGCAAGTCAGCACTATCAAGCCAGCCCTTGTCATTGTCAGGAGCTGCGGGAAGAGAGGTGTTTTGCATTGCTGCAGGGAACTGACCTCTTTTAGTCAGGGAAGTAGTTTGGGGCAGCAGAAAGCAGAACTTGCACCTGCTGGTAAGATCTGAGTGGTCACTGACAACCACCTCTGCAACCCCGTTACCAGGGCAACAAAGATGGGCCCGGTAGTAGTGGTGGGCTCTGCCACATCTCTCTGTGCATAAGAACCTTTGGCCACTGTTGGTCTGGCTTTGTCTTTCACCAATCCTAGTGTTCATATCCAGTGTACCAACCACTGAGGGCAGCTGTCCTGGAATCTCTCTCTCATCTCTGCCCATAATTAACTGCTTCTGGGCACAGTGCATGAGTTACATAGGTGAGTGTGGGTAACTTTCTCCTTTCTGTGGGGGGAGCATCCTTCTGGTCCACTCTCAGGAGGGCATCCTATGTTATTTTTGTGATATTTTCCTAAGAGTTGTATAGCAAGTGCATCAAGCCAACTTGTCTACCCCAGCTCCCTCTTGAGACCAGCAGAAACCATTTATCAACTGGCAGTTTACGTAACCTCTCTGGGCCTCAATTTCCTCATATAAAATGAGGATAATAAATCATATCTGCCTCATAGAGTTGCTGTGGGGAGTAAAGAGTTCAAATATATCTGTCAGTGAAGGAAAACAAAAACAAAAACAAAGAGTTCAAATATATCTAGCATTTAGACAGAACTAGGTATGCAGCCAGTGCCCAATAGGTGTGTGAGTTTCTGTGGCCACTGTAACAAATGACCACAAACTTAGTGGCTTAAAACAACACACATTTATTATTTTACAGTTCTGGAGGTCAGAAGTCTAAGATGAGGTCAGGCGTGGTGGCTGAAGCCTGTAATCTCAGCACTTTGGGAGGCCGAGGTGGCAGGATCACTTGAGGTCAGAAGTTCCAGAGCAGCCTAGCCAACATGATGAAACCCCGTCTCTACTGAAAATACAAAAATTAACCAGGCATGGTTGTGAGCGCCTGTAATCCCAGCTCCTCAGGAGACTGAGGCAGGAGAATTGCTTGAACCCAGGAGGTGGAGGTTGCAGTGAGCTGAGATCGTACCACTGCACTCCAGCCTGGGCAACAGAACACGACCCTGTTTCCAAAAAAGTAAAGTCCGTGATGAGTTTTACTGGGCTGAGATCAGTGTAGACAAGGCTGCACTCTCTGGAGGCTCTAGGGCAGAATCTGTTTCCTTGCCTTTTCTACCTTCTAGAAGTTGCCTGCATTCCTTGGCTTGTGGCCCCTTCCTCTGTGTTCAAAGCCATTGGTGTAACATCTTCAGATCTCTGTGACTCCGATCCTTGCTTCCATCTTATAAGGATCGTTGTGATTCATTGTACCCATCCAAATATCCCAGAAGAATCTTTCCATCCCAAGATCCATAACTTAAATCCCATCTGCAAAGTCCCTTTGCCATGTGTGGTAATATATTCACGGCTTCCAGAGATTAGGACATGGGCATCTTTGGAAAGGGGAAGGGGGCATTATTTGATCTAACATCAAAAGCATGAGATGTTTTTGTAAAATGAAACAAATGTTGCAGCTTCCTAATGCAGCTTCTTAGGCCCACCTGCTGGCCCCCTTGACGTTGGTTTTTCTCTACCTAGGTCTGTTGTGTCGGGTCTGGACTCCCCTGCCAAGACTAGCTCCATGGAAAAGAAACTTCTCATCAAAAGCAAAGAGCTACAAGACTCTCAGGACAAGTGTCACAAGGTATTTATTTCCGCAGCCGGCCTCCTTCTTTGCTCCAGGATCCTCCCGTCAGTATATGCCAAGGGATCCGCCCGGGGCCGCTGCTGGCTCTGAGCCGCCTGATCCGTAGAGAGTGAGGCGCTCCTGCCCTCGCTGAAGTCGTGCCTCCAGCAGCTCAGAGGGAGATGAATTCGGGCCTTGCCGTTGCTGTAGATCCTTTAAATCTAAACCAGAGGAGGCCCTGGATTTAAACGGCCCGTTTCTCAGCATGACCCAGCCAGATGTCTGCTTCTTCCGGCAGGTGGCCTGGGTCCTCACCTGTGGCTGAGATACATCCCATCTGCTTTGAGTGATGCGAAGTCTCTCTTCCTAGTCTTTTAAAACTCCTGCTAATGTCACTGCGGCCACTGTGTTGATTACGCTCAACGTCTCTTAACATTCACTGTTCCTGCCCAGAGGCAACGCTCTGGAAACTAATAAGTCACTGCTTGCCTGGGACTCCTAAGAGTGCAGACGAATAAATATCTCCTTGCCCTATCCTGGATTTGTCCTCTAGATCTTTGCAAGGAGATGGGGGGGGATCAAGATGGATTTGGGATAAAATTAAAGTGACGTCTGCAAAACAAAACAAAAACAAAAGCAAACAGGTGAAAAATGATGATTGTGGCTTCCTTGCTAACTGGGTTAGAGAAGTGATCAAGTGTGAACCGGGACTTGAATGAGAGGAGTGACTTAGCATTTGGTGACTGTCCTTAACGAAGAACTGTGCGCTCCTGGGCGAAGAAACAATGGTATTTCCATCCCAACTTAACTTTTGGCGAATTAGCCTTAGCCCAGACCACCAGGTGGTTTCGGAGGCTACTTGAGATGTGATTGCTCCTAACGAACCTCCATGGGCCTTTTTAACCTGTCGATGTGTTTATTTCAGATGGAGCAGGAAATGACCCGGTTACATCGGAGAGTGTCAGAGGTGGAGGCTGTGCTTAGTCAGAAGGAGGTGGAGCTGAAGGCCTCTGAGACTCAGAGATCCCTCCTGGAGCAGGACCTTGCTACCTACATCACAGAATGCAGTGTGAGCCTTCCCTGAAGCCCCCTTCCCTTGGAGGTGGCACTTCTTGTTGTGTGTGTCTCATCCTGTTTCATGATGGCTCCATGAGGCACATCACAGCCAATGGCAGAGAGTAGAGAGAGAGAGAGCACAAAAGCAAGATCTGTGTTTTGCAGAGTAGTGACAGCCAGGCGTGAGGTCCCCAGGAAATGAGATTGGACTCATTTCCAGCAGAAAGTGCAGGTAGACGGCTGGTACCACGGAGTCTGGAGATGGGAGTAATCCATCTTTGCCGCGGGTTGCAAAAGATCTTAACATCTCCCATCCCAACCTCTCTGGTCTGCATTGTGTCTGACATGAGCAGCCTTGAGAACCAGACTCCCAACTATGTACAAGAAAACTTACTTTCAATCTTCCTGACATCAGATTTTCCATTGGCCAGAACCAGTGTAGCGACAAGAAAATAGCCTTGAAAACCCAAACCCTCTGTCATTATTTACCATGTGACTTTCGTTTTTTCTTTCCTTCACAAGAGTAGACTGTCTTCTTCTCCATTGTCTTGTTAAATTTTTCATTCAGGTGTTTTTTTAATGTGCCCAATTAAACAGTCTTAAGAAGTTGAATCACACATTTCTAAAGTTTTTTTCACAAGGGAGAGGAAATCTATAGAACGTGGCTGATTAAGAATAACTGCTATGTTTCCATTCCAGACTTGGCTGCCTTTCAGTGGTGGGTGAAGTTATTCAGCTATGTATTTCAGATATAGATTTCAGTGCCATTGAAGCATTAAGGGATTCTTATGGATGAAAGGTGTCCAGGAAAAATAAGCCAGGAGGTAGAAATAGACCACTTGGAGTCTTAAATGACAACTGGGCAGAGGATATGAAGTCATTGCTACTTTGAAAGAGGCATATGTACTTTAGGGCCCACAAATAACTGTAGAAAACACTTTGTAGCCATCCACATGGTGATTGTAATAGCTACTGGGTCTTAATAGGTTTTAGTTCTGAACATGCAAGTAAGTATCTCCTAGGACAGTAGATGGTGGCAGGAGACAGGCTGATGCAGTTTCCGGCTGGATCCCTAAGGTCACCAGGTTGGGATGATGTTTCTTGAACCAAGGGGTTTTACAGGATGGAAACCGGAATCGGCAACGAACTGGAAGTTGTCAACTGTGGTCCGTCACTCGAAACCGTCCTGGTGTCTGCGAAGCAGCTTGCAGCTCTCTTAATGAGTCTTTTCAAACAAAGCAGGATCCACAGGGCATCCCTATTAAAATTTTTGCTTTCTGCAGAGCTTAAAGCGAAGTTTGGAGCAAGCACGGATGGAGGTGTCCCAGGAGGATGACAAAGCACTGCAGCTTCTCCATGATATCAGAGAGCAGAGCCGGAAGCTCCAAGAAATCAAAGAGCAGGTAGGCCTGCTTGCCTGGGAGCACAGCGGCATCTCGGCTCGCTCGGACCTCTAATTTCAGGAGAGGCATGTTTGAGACAGAAACAGGAAGAAAGGGAGAGAGGAGCAGAGTAGAAGAGAGGCAGGTATATAGGTCATTCAGAAACTTTAAGTTTCTCATAATTTATATACATCATAGAGTGCTTGTTCCAGCTCCTTTTGAAGCTGATACCCCATAATGTCCGCTTTTAAAAATAAAGATGTAGGTTTAGAGCAAGAGTGGGCAAACTTCAGCCTGTGGGGCAAAGCCGGTCCAACACCTATTTTCTGTGACCCACAAACTAAGAATGGGGTTTACATTTTTAAACAGTTGGGAAAAAAATCAAAAGAAAAACAATATTTCATGACATTTGAAATTTATATGAAATTCAAATTTCAGTCTCCATAAATAGTTTTTTTTTTTTTTTTGGAACACAGCCATGCTTGGTAATTTACATATTGGCCCTGGCTGCTTTCAGGCTACACAGTCAGAGGTGAGTGGTTGTTATGGAGACCACGTGGCCTGCAACGCTGAAAGTACTTACTGTCCCTTTTTACAGCAAAAGTTTGCCAATCCCTGCTTTAGATGGTTAAAAAAATTAAATGTTTTCATAGCTTTTCAGATGCACTTTAAGTTTTTGAGCGAAGCCAGGCTAATTCATAGTTTTACTTGTAGAAAGAAATATTCTACAAGAGAAGTTCGAACCATTCTGGTTGAGTCAGGATTGACACTGCGTATCTGAGTGCAGAAAGCTGTCCCCTGTGTTTTCAGAAAGGAAAAGCGAGACCTTTAAAAACTCCACTCTTTTTTTTTTCTTTCTAAATGGGTTTTCTTTCTAAATGGCTCATTTTCGTATTGCCTCATTGTTTCCTTTTTAGCATGGATTTTTGTGTCTTTTGAAAAACCGTAAATAGAGATTTTAATGAAGAGATGGCAATGAGCAATTGGAGAGCTGAACTATCAGCTGCCAGGCAACTCTCATTCACTTCAGAAAATCTAATGGAAACATTGATGGAAATGAACATTTCTGTCTCTGGGTAGCACAAACTTAGCCATCTGGCTGGAGCTAATGCAAGAAACTCCTGCAAATAATTCTATCCATTAATTACTCTTTAAAAAAAGAATTACTGTCTTTGGAGTTTTGTTGGCATAATATATTTATCATCTGAATATTTTAAAGTTGTGATCGGTTAATATCCTGTTGCTTGATAAAAACATTATAAATAAATGTGCATAGGAAGGAAACCCTGTAAAGGATTATCAGATCTCTGAATAATGCGGTCTTAGAGGTTTTGAAGGCTGCACATGGGCTTTGAGAAATCTGCTTTGACAGTTGACTCATGCTCCTTTTATCAACATAGTTTTCATCCTAAAGGGTTCAAGAGGTAGGAATCATTTTCTCCCATTAGTTCAACATACCTGGAAATTTACTTTTGGTGACATCCTGGGGAAATGAAAGCTGTGTTTGGCCACCAGAGGGAGCAGCTGGTGTCCATAGATTCCTTAGAAACGGAATTATCAGGACATTTTGAAAAGGTATATGTTGGTGGCCGACTTCAAAGAAATGCCTTTTATGATTCCTACCACAGCTGGCATGCATGTGGAGTCTTAGATTTAATGACTGCTAAAAGTTCCATTGTGGGGAAGAAAACTTCATGGTTTCAGATTTGATTTTTCATGGGAACAAGGATTTATTTTATGACTTTTGGTAAGTTTTGTGAGAGCAGGATGTTTGCAGACCAGGAGAAAGCTTTTAATGCTTGCAATAAACTTTCAGTATTTGGTTTGTGGCATATTCATTTTTTCCAGACTTGGGATTTAATCCCTGATCTTTCTCTTAAAAATCTAATTTTCTATATGGCTCTTTATTTTTATTTTTTTTGAGATGGAGTCTCGCTCTGTCGCTCAGGCTGGAGTGCAGTGGTGCGATTTCGGCTCACTGCAGCCCCCATCTCCCGGGTTCAAGTGATTCTCCTGCCTCAGCCTCCTGAGTAGCTGGGACTACAGGTGCTCACCACCACGCCCGGCTAATTTTTGTATTTTTAGTAGAGATGGGGTTTTACCATGTTGGTCACGCTTGAACTCCTGATCTCGTGATCTGCCCGCCTTGGTCTCCCAAAGTGCTGGGATTACAGGCGTGAGCCACCGGACCTGGCCGGCTCTTTATTTTTTTCAAAAATATTTTACTTCTACCTAGCTACCCCCTCTAGAGTATTTAGATTTGGTTTAAAGAAAAACACCTCAAAGTCTCATGTGAAATTTTGATTCCTAGATCATTACTAGCAATTTCAGCTTCTTTCTTGCTCCTCTACTCAGGAAAGGAAATAAAAGTGTGGGTAACACAGAAGTCACTTGTGTTCCAGGGTTTCTGCGTGAATAGGATCATACCTGATCCTTCCTCCCCACAAAATTCTGAAGCTCCATTCAGAAGACTTGTGTTAGGTGGGCCTTGAAACCTGTCTGCGTTTCCCCATCCTGAGATACCACAGCTATCTCTCAGCTGGTCGTGCAAACAGACCCGATGATCACCTTTCAGGTTTTTCCTGAAGCAGGGATTTGGTTAGCTGCTAAATTTACAGGATTTCCTTGAAGTATCCAGTACAATATCAAAGGATCCACAAATGAGTTAGAATTCTCTTCTGATGCTTGTAGCAGGCTGGGTGCCCCGAGAGCTTGGAGAGCTGACAGAGTGGTTGCCTGGTTCCTGCCTTCCTCCCTCTTACGTGCTGACAGCTCAGGGAAGAGAGATGTTGGGGGGGAAGGAACAGACACTCTGTCCTCGCTCTTGACAAAACACAAAATTTACATTCCCTTCTCGCCGACATAAATTCAAGAAAGAAAAGGGAGCTTGAGGACAAAAGAAACTCAAGATTTGGTATCGACGCCTGTAGCTAGGACTGGCTTTCCCATTAGCTCTAGCAGGCATGGTAGCTAGGGACCGCTGTACTTTTAGGGTCTCATAACATGTTTTAATTTTTTCATCAGAAGAAAAAAGTTGGGCTTAGGTCAAAGACACTGTTTTCATAGATGATATTAATATTTTTGTATTTATAAGAGCACAATTGTAAAATGTAATTTTTGTTTTTATGGAGGAAGTCAAGGAAGGCTCAGTGCTCACAGCTATGAAAGCCATAATATGGCTCTGGTTGAGGGGGTCCAGAAAAACCGATGATCCATTTCACCTACAGCTCATGTTCTGCCCTGTGAATTTATTTATTTATTTGAGATGGAGTCTTGCTCTGTCACCCAGGCTGGAGGGCAGTGGTGTAATCTCAGCTCACTGCAACCTCTGCCTCCCAGGTTCAAGCAATTCTCCTGTCTCAGCCTTCCAAGTAACTGGGATTACAGGCGCCCACCATCATGACCAGCTAATTTTTGTATATTTTGTAGAGATGGGGTTTCACCATGTTGGCCAGGCTGGTCTCGAACTCTTAACCTCAAGTGATCTGCCCACCTTGGGCTCCCAAAGTGCTGGGATTACAGGCATGAACCACTGTGCCCGGCCTGCCCTGTGAGTTTAGATAATTGGGAGCAGGTTATAAAGACGTTTGGTTATATAATCCAGCATCGCCTGCTTAGTATGCATGACCCACGAAACCTGTGTGCCCCAGGATTCTGAGGACTGACCTTCAGTAACATATGCTTTTGGGTGGGAGAGAGTGAAATGAGACCCGTGTTCCATTTTGGGCTGTTTTTTCCTTTCTCCTTTACAGATAATATAGGGAGAGGTGTACTTGCATGGAAACCATCCAGTTTTCATAAGAGCAGCAGTTCCCCTTTAATATGCTCTGGGGGGGGTCACCTGCTACAATAGGATTAAAGGTTTCCTTTATACCCTGTTATTTAAGAATTACAATTTATCAGTTAAAAGAATATCCTTGCTCAATCGATTATTTCTTGGGAGAAATATTCAAATATTCCTCACCAATTATTTCTTGGGAGAATGGATCTCAGAGATATTACTGAATATTGTGATTTTCAAAGACTTCTTGATGCAATTCCTTGTTCATTTCATTTTGTATCTCTCTCGTCCTCACCCCACAAGTCACCTTGGATTACATAAGTGCTCATTCATAATCCTTATACTTAGCCTTGATTTTTGCTAACACAGAATGTTTTTATACTTTGTCCAAAAGTTTTCAAAATCACTGGCCATTTCTTCTGGTAAACCCAGTTCTGAGAAACTTGAATGTAAATGTTTTGATTTTAGAAATGCATTTTGGAAAAGGTTGGGCCGTTTGGATCACTTAAAGCGTTTGCCCAAGGGAACAGGAGAGTTCTTTCCTTGGAATTTTTCTCACAAGTTATTTTGACCGAAGCCAGTGTTTTGTGACTCTTCCAAATTTCAGGGTGACTTGCATTGCAGGAGCGATGTTACGGTCATCATTCAGTTTTGGGCCCAGAAAAATTAATGGTGAGAAACTGACATGATGAGTTTCACCTTCCAGAATTCTTTCCACTGAGAGTTTCAATTACCCTCTTGTGCTGTCTGAAAGGTTAATTTGAAAACTAGTACCATATCTAATTTGTGTTAGGAGCACATGACTTCTAAAGGACAAATCTATATAAATGATTACCCTTGGAGGAAAACTACACGTAAGCGGTTTATCCTTGTTGTTTAAAGAACATCCCTTTCGGCTCTCCTGTTAGGCCTTAAGGGTCTGTGCATATTGTATGGTGTGATTTGCATGTGTGTTCCCAGTGGTTTTATTAATGACATATGCTCTACATTGAAACAGTCTTTTGTTTTGTTTTTGTTTTTGTTTTTTGTTTTTTGTTTTTTCTTTTGAGACAGAGTCTTGCTCTGTCACCCAGGCTGGAGTGCGGTGGCGTGATCTCAGCTCACTGCAACCTCTGCCTCCTGGGTCCAAGCGATTCATCTGCCTCAGCCTCCTGAGTAGCTGGGATTACAGGCACCCACCACCATGCCCGGCTAATTTTTGTATTTTTAGTAGAGACGGATATCACCATGTTGGCCATGCTGGTCTCGAATTCCTGACCCCGTGATCTGCCCGCCTCAGCCTCCCTAAGTGCTGAGATTACAGGCATGAGCCACCACACCCAGCCAAAACAGTTTTAAGGTTTAATTTTTTTTCTTCCTCGTCTTCACCCCACACTTCTCGCCTTTGCCTACTTGGTGCCTCATTCTGGGTCCATCTTTCTACTCCCCTTGTCTCTAGGTCTGTAGGTCTTTTCTTTTTCTTTTATTTTTTTAATTTTTGAGATGGAGTCTTGCCCTGTTACCCAGGCTAGAGTGCAGCGGCACGATCTCGGCTCACTGCAACCTCTGCCTCCCAGGTTCAAGCGATTCTCCTGCCTCAGCCTGCTGAGTAGCTGGGACTTTAGGCCCGCACCACCACACCCAGCTAATTTTTATATTTTGAGTAGAGACAGGATTTCACCATGTTGACCAGGCTGGTTTTGAACTCCTGACCTCAGGTGATCCACCCACCTTGGCCTCCCAAAGTTTTGGGATTACAGGTGTGAGCCACCTTGCCCGGCCAGGTCTTTTTTTGCCAATCTCTCTTCACTGTGCATCTTCCCTGTGTGGTTAATACTCTTCCATCCTCACTGCCTGTCTATTCTTTTCAGAGTTCTAAAGTTCACTTTTATTCCATTGCCTGCTCTTTAGGAGTACCAGGCTCAAGTGGAAGAAATGAGGTTGATGATGAATCAGTTGGAAGAGGACCTTGTCTCAGCAAGAAGACGGAGTGATCTCTATGAATCTGAGCTGAGAGAGTCTCGGCTCGCTGCTGAAGAATTCAAGCGGAAAGCGACAGAATGTCAGCATAAACTGTTGAAGGTAGTCAGCCACCCTCCAGGAGGGTGCTTTTTGGGTAAAATCATACATGATCTTAGCAAGAAAAAGGAGAACCTAGTTTAATGAGAAACAACCTAGTTTGAGAAATAGTAGGATACCTTGGAAAACCCTTGGTCTTTATTTACAGAAGATAACATTCTTATTTACTATTATTATCTTGGTCACAGAGACCAAGTAGTCTACATGACTTTTAGGTTGTTGAGATTTCCCAATATGTTGTGTCTTTTTAATTACAGGCTAAGGATCAAGGGAAGCCTGAAGTGGGAGAATATGCGAAACTGGAGAAGGTATACTTTCCATGATTGGTTTTGCTATTAATATTTTGGGTAGATAACATTTTTCATGTTGTTATCAGTGGCCCATCATTGATGAAGAGTATTCTTAATGAATAGAGACCTCTCTTCGAGGCTTATTTTGATAGTCCACCTTTGGGTGACAACATTTAACTATGGCTCTAAAAGAGGTAAAAGGCAGCTCATTTTTGTCATGCCTGCCCACAGCAACAAACCCAGACACTTAGTAAAACATACATGAAAATTGTTATTGTCTTAAAGCACTGAGCGACTTTCTCTTTTTGCCATTTGTATGTTGCTGGTCCTACCTACATCGTCAACATGGAGCTTTGCACTGGGACAAAGTCTTCCCTGAGAGGCCACTGTTCTTCCTCTTCCTTAGTAGGTTCTGAAAACCCAAAGAAAAAGACCCCATAGAAACCTCAAGAGAATAGGACTGCAATAAATGTAGCAAGATGTTAATGCTGATTTGCCTTTTGCTTTATTTCCTGGAATTTTAATTATAGATCAATGCTGAGCAGCAGCTCAAAATTCAGGAGCTCCAAGAGAAACTGGAGAAGGTAAGCCCGAGGTGATTTTTCAGGAACTTACCCCCCCACCCCACCTCCTTTCCAAACGTCTTTCTTTGCCTTGTCCCAGAGCACGAAAGATGAAAGAAACAGAATTAGTCACCCAGCACTGAGGAAAATGAAGGGGGAGTGAGCGATTACCTGAAAATATCAGAGTTCTGAATATAGTTTTTCCTTTTGAGACATGTCAGCAGTGTTTATTTTTAAAAACCAAGCTGTGTGAGACTCTCAAGTAAAAGTTCTAATTATACTACGACAGAACCCAAGAGGCCTGCATCTCTCGCCTCAGGGGGCCTGGCACCTCACTTATGCACATTTGTAAGAGAAGCAGTTCCCCACCCAGACTGCTTTCTGCCAGCAGGAGGCCTGCCCTGCAGAAGACTGGAGGAGCCTTGGGGTTGTCACGTGATTGGGAAGGGGCGTGAGTTTGGTTTATAGCATCCTGCAAAGTTTGTGCTAATGGCCCTCCTTTTATTTAATTGTTTAATTATTTAAGTAAAAAAATTTTTTTTGAGATGGAGTCTTGCTCTGTTGCCCAGGCTGGAGTGCAGTGGTACGATCTTGGCTCACTGCAACCTCTGCCTCCCGGGTTCAAGGGATCCTTCTGCCTCAGCCCCCAGAATAGCTGGGATTACAGGCATGCACCACCACACCCTGCTAATTTTTGTATTTTTAGTAGACACAGGGTTTCACCATGTTGGTCAGGCTGGTCTCGAACTCCTGACCTCAGGTGATCTGCGTGCCTTGGCCTCCCAAAGTGCTGGGATTATAGGCACCAGCCACTGCACCTGGCCAACTTATTTAACTTTTTTGAGACAGGGTCTCACTCTGTCACCCAGGTTGGAGTGCAGGGCATGATCATGGCTCACTGCAGCCTTGACTTCACAGGCTCAGGTGATCCTCCCACCTATGCCTCCAGAGTAGCTGGGACCACAGGTGTGCACCACTATGCCCAGCTGATTTTCTGTATTTTCTGTAGAGATAGGATTTTGCCATGGTGCCTAGGCTGGTCTCAAACACCTGGACTCAAGTGATCCACCTGCCATTGCTTCCCAAGATGCTGGGATTACAGGCATGAACCACTGTACCTGACCATTTTATCTTGTTTTTAAAATTTTTATTAATTTTTCCCCTAGCTTCATTAAGGTATAGTTGGCAAATAATAATTGCATAAACTTATGGTATGCAATGTGATGTATACACACACACACACACACACACACATTGTGAAGTGATTAAGTCAAGCCAGCTGACAGATCCATCACCTCACATTCTTCTTATGTTTTTTTGTGGTGAGAACATTTAAGAGCAATTTTCAAGCCCTTCCTTTAGTTGAACACTGGAAATGCTTAATGGAAGGGCCAGAATGAATGTGGCTGTGGAACATACTTTTGGCATTGAGAATGTTTGTGAATGTGTTTGCTGGCTTGGTTTAATAGAGTTCCTCCTCCTCCTCCTTTTTTAAAATTGTGGTAAAAAACCCACATAACATTAAATTACCACCTTAACCATTTTTAAGTGTACAGTTCAGTTGTGCTAAGTTTATTACCATTATGGGCAGTGGATCTCTGGAACGTTTTTGTCTTGTTACACTGAAACTCTATAACCACCAAATATGAATTCCTCTCATCCCCCCCACCTTTCTATTTTCTGTTTCTATGATTTTGACTACTTTATGTACCTCTCATAACTGGAATCATACAGTGTTTGTCCTTTTGTGATTGGCTTATTTCATTTAGCATAATGTCCTAAAGTTGCATTCATGTGGTAGCATGTATCAGAATTTCCTTTCTTCTTAAGGTGGAATCATATTCTAGTTTATAGATATACTGCTTTTTGCTTATCCACTGTTTGCCCCCTGCTTCCTTATTCTTGAGCTCTCTAATAAAAGCCCTCATGGCCCTCTTTAGCCAGAAGCTTGTGAGAGGATGCACGTCTCCATCTAGAACTGTGCTCTCCAATCAAAGTGTGAGGGAGCCACAAATATTACTCACAGATGTAATTTAAAATTTTCCAGTAGCCACATTTAAAAACAGCAAAAACAGGCCAGGCCTGGTGGCTCACGCCTATAATCCCAGCACTTTGGGAGGCTGAGGCGGGCAGATCACCTGAGGTCAGGAGTTCGAGACCAGCCTGACCAACATGGTGAAACCCTGTCTCTACTAAAAATACAAAATTAGCTGGATGTGGTGGCGCATGCCTGTAATCCTAGTTACTTGGGAGGCTGAGGCAGGAGAATCACTTGAACCTCAGGAGGCGGAGGTTGCGGCGAGCCGAGATTGCGCCATTGTACTCCAGCCTGGGCAACAAGAGCAGAACTCTGTCTCAAAAAAAGAAAACCAAAACAAACAAACAATAAAAACAGCAAAAACAGGCGAAGTCATTTGAATGATATATTTGTTTTTAACCCAGTGTATCTCAATATTTCCCATAGAAAAATTAACAAATGAGATAATTAAAATAAGGAGAAAATTAATGCTTCAAGGCAAATACATTGATATCTGGGTAGATCAGTCCATTTAGATCTTTCTATTTCCATTCACTGTCTTGCATCGAATCGAAGATGCTAATGATTTTCAGATACACCATTATCTTACATACCCCAAGAAAGAAAAATGCATCAATTTTAATTGTAGGATGCATTTCAAATTGAGTGATGTTAAAAAATGTGCACCTTAGAATAATGAAATACAGAATTAAATGATTGTGTATTTGTTTTGACAAATGGTAAACTCAGTATTACCTGCTTTTTTTATTTAGGACACTGTGACTATCTTTTTTTTTTTTTTAGATGATACTTTAAGTTCTGGGATACATGTGCAGAATGTACTGTCACCATCTTTTTACATGAATAAATTTGGCCACTTATCTCCTTTTCCTCCTCTCTTCCTAGGCTGTAAAAGCCAGCACCGAGGCCACCGAGCTGCTGCAGAATATCCGCCAGGCAAAGGAGCGAGCCGAGAGGGAGCTGGAAAAGCTGCAGAACCGAGAGGATTCTTCTGAAGGCATTAGAAAGAAGCTGGTGGAAGCCGAGGTGAGCAGGGAACCTCCAGCCCAGGCCCCAGCGGCCTCGGCCTTTGGCTGTGCCCAAGGAAAGAAACTGCCAGACCATCCCTTGCTTATGTTTGGCCAAGCTGCTTTCCCTTCTGAAGATCCCTTTGAAACCTGAGAGGCTGGGAATCATTTCCCCCCAGGGGAAAGAAAGATTTGTCAGAGCAGCTTCAAGTAGAAAGATGTCTTCATAGAAGCTTTTTCTTTCTGTTTATTTTCCTCTGACCTACTCACTAATCTGGGACAATTTTTATTTTTATAGGTTAACCGAAGCTCCATCACTGGGTTTTTCTTTCTCTTCCCTCTGTTTTTTCCTCGTCTTTCCCCTCCGTGATATTAATAGCATATTAATTTTCAAGACTTCACCTATTACCTGCGTGTCAATGACTCTCAGATCTATATTTTTGGGCCTCTTCTCTACTTTAAATTCTTTGTTGTTGTTGTTGTTGTTGAAATCATTTGTATAATTTTACCAGAACGACATGAGTGCCTTTTCATTGTAAAACACTTAGTACAGAAGAATACAGGATAAAAAGCAATTCTTCGCCTTTACTCATATCTGCCTCCTCTGCCCCTTGGTGTTTGTCCCACAGAAGGGGCATGCCATAGTTGATTTCACCCTCCTCCTATTGCTGGGTCTTTTGCTTTTCCCTGTTACATTCTTGATGTGAACCTCCTGGTACATGTCTCTTTCGGGCCATCCTCACCCACATTTGTCTGCATATCCCCCAGCTCCTCTACATTCCAACTGAGTGTCTGAATGGTGCATCAGATTTAGAATGAACTCAGTCTCTTCCCTGGCAAGCTTGGTTTCCCTTCTCACTTTCCTCATGCCAGGCAAGGCCACCATCATTCATCTGGTCATTCCAGGCTTCAAACCTTGGTGTCCTTTCCTTTTCTCTGGACCCTGCTATTCAGTGAGTCCCTCCGTCCTATAAATGCAACCATACATCTCCTGTTCATCTCCTGCTTCCCATTTCTGTAGCCCTCCTTATAGTCTAAGCCCTCCCCTCTTAGCTGAGCAAATCTAATAATTTCTCGGCCATCTGCCTCCAGCTTCTCCTTCCTTCCAGCTAGTTCCCACAGTGAAAGATTCATGGACCTCAAGAACCAGATTTCTCAGAATTCCCTGCCCCATCCCAAACCTTTCAGGGTTCCATAATGCCCAGGTGTACCCCTGAGCCTGGTACCTGAAACCCTCAACCTTTGACCTTTCTGCTTTTCACCTGCCCTTCCCCTGAACACGTGCTGTGCTGTAGCCATTCCAGGCTTCGCTTGGGGCCCAAACTGGCTCTTGACCACTGCTGTGTTTCTGCTAGTGTGTCTCCTTTTGTCTGAAACATTTCCCCCTCCTCTCCTGTCCTTCCTACTGCAAAACACCATATACCACCCCCCTCCAGAGCTCACACCTCTCTGATGTCTCTGCTCAACTGTCCAATTAAAAGTCCTCTGTCCTGCCTGCAACCTCCTGCGGCACTTTGTACCTCTTTGCTTTATGGTTCTTCCTCATCTTAACCTATATTATGATTATTTATGTTTATCTTATCTCCTCCAAGGGCAGGAATGATGCCATCTTCCTCTGTATTTTCCGTGATGCCTAGCGTGGCACTTTGCAGATAGTAGGTGCTTGGTAAATATTTGAATGAATGAATGCACTCTTGTAACCTACACAACTGAGTACCTGGATTATAGAGTCTTATTTTCTCTACTGTTGCTTCGGGTGCCTGAGGCTTTTCTTCCTGACTCGAGTGTATGCTTCTTGAGGGCTCTTTCCCTCGGTGCAGGTGTTATGCCCATAGCGGTTACTCCATTAAAACTCTCTGATTGATTCATGATCTACAGGAACGTCGCCATTCTCTGGAGAACAAGGTAAAGAGACTAGAGACCATGGAGCGTAGAGAAAACAGACTGAAGGATGACATCCAGACAAAATCCCAACAGATCCAGCAGATGGCTGATAAAATTCTGGTGAGCAGGAATGAAAGTTGCAAAGTTAAAAGATAACAGGTTAGAGGTTGCAAAGGGAAGGGGGTTAGAAGAAGAATTAACCACCACAATAAGGGAGGTATCTCCAAGTAGATGAATTAAGTGAGGTGGTTTCAGCATATACCACATCGTAGAGTAGTATGAATAACCAAATAACGGACATTTCAGCACTGGTAACAGATCCGTAAATATCATTTTTTTTGCTCTTTTTGCTACAGCCTGGCTTTTTTTTTTTTTCTAAAGTAGAGCGTGCATCTATCATTTTCAGTACATTTTTATAGGAGTGTTGACATATTTCTATCAGCAGAGCTTTGAATAGCCGTCAACTTTGCAATGACAATTTAAAAAGCTGTAGGGGTTTAGAACTTTAAGACCGAAATTCAGATTCTTGCTTTTAGAGAAGAAAGCAATTAGTCATACAGAATTGTTTTGCTAGGAGTAGTATTTGTCATAGATCCATGTTCACCCACTCGCTTTCTCTGCTACAGTTGGTTATTATTATTATTATTTTTTCAATTTCCTTAGCTTTTTTTAGGGTCTTTTTTTAGGGTCTATAGTCATCCTGATTCTGTCTCAGGCTCTGATGACCAAATTAACTTGATCAAGGAAGACTCGGGTGGTATTTGCAGATGTATTGACGTTTTGCCCCTGCCAGGGTGGAAGACAGCACCTCCTTTGAAGGGCTCTCCTTGGACCTCAGTCCCACAGCCAGAAATTTGACATCATGTTTGAGACTCAAGGATGACTTGGAGTCCATTCCTATCCCACCTGGGGAGAGACTCTGAAGTCATTGGTCATTCCTCTCCACCCTAAGGAGGCAAGGTGGTGAGCAGGGTACTTCATCTCTCTCTCTTCACATCACTTCTGGGAAATGACTCACCAGCAACTGTTGGAATTCCAGAGTGGCCAACTTATAGGTCTATACTTAATACCAAATCAAACTGTTTACAACTTTACATTTCTGTTTGTGTATATTTATAAATATATGGATGTTCTCGAATCAACAGGTAAAAGAAAAATGGGTTAAATTGTTTTGCTATGACACCCAGTCTTTGTATATATGTCTGCACACAAAGACAGATGTGACTGTTAGTCTGCCCTTTCTGTTCTCTTGTTCCGTCATCAAAGTTTCTCTTGGCTATTGTCAAGTGTTTGAATTTTATCATGAATATAAAATCAGATCCCGCTGAGATCCCACCGCTGCTATCCCTTGCTTGGTATAAACAAAGTGGTTAACTCTCTTGTGGTTGCAAAGTGTTTCTCTGTTTAATGGTGATGTGTTCATTCATTCATTCAACAAATATTTAATGAGCTTCTACTATGTGCCAGGCACTGTTCTAGGAGCTGGAAATTTAGCAGCAAACAACAGTATTTGCATAACAGGACTGAAGAGTTGATCCAATACATCTAGAAAATATCTGTTTAAAAAATGACAACAACAACAAAAAATGCCAAACCACCAAGAAGTCAGATTTGTAGAAGATCTGCTCTTCCTAAGGTTCACTTACAATTAAAATGGAGGAGTAGAGAGTTCTGCATTCTTGGATTACGTGTCATAAACTCCCGTTCACAAATAGACCAGAAATTTGGTATTAAAGTTGTCAGTGTCAGATACCTGAGTTTTTTTTTTCCATCTAATTTTAGATTCTGATTTCCATTCCTGTGCTATCTTATGAAGACTGAAACTGGAAAAAAAATAAAAAAGATGATTATCAAATGATTTCTAACATAAAGGAAAAATAAGCAGATTTCTTTGTCCGAGTGTATCTTGCCACCTGCCGGAGTACCTTTGTGGTTGTGACTTCATTTATTAGAAGGTGCCTTTTGCTCAAGAACCCTGTGCTTAGGCTGCAAAGTATCTAGGACGTGGGCAAAGAGTGGTCCTTAGTACCATTATGTAACGATGACTGAGCATAGATCCCCAAATGTCATTGCCTTTAAAATATTTGCTATTCTGATAAGAACTTTCAAAACAGATAATGGTACACTCATTACAGTACAGTCTTTGGCCTTAATAAAAGAAGTTATTGCAAGAGATCCTTTAGCCAAGTACATACAGAACCTTTTAAAATAGGTTTTTATTAATCCTGTTTATTTTCAACTCTTCAAGATCACATCTGTTGAATTGCGGGAGATCTTGTGCACCTGGTCTTAAGACTGAACTTTAATTGCCCTCAAAGCAAATCCAATGCTTGTAGACTTTAGAATTTCAAAAACTTAATCACTAACATTTTAAGTGCATGTGAATCTCTAAGTAACTTTTTCACCCCCATTTTATGAACATATCCTATATAATTTCCTCATTCTTCAAAACCCTCATAATTGCTTCCACTTCAAAGGAAAATTTCATAGTAGTATAAAGAGTTGAAAACTTGGAGTAATGACTCGGTATTAGTAATTAACTGATGGGTCCAGATTCATAAGAATTAATATAGATGCAGCTATCTGTACATTTACAGAATGTTTTAGTGAATTGAATGCTGCCTTTTATAAGGTCAGTTTATAAAATATTGGCAAATGAACTGCTATAATTTTCAAATAAATTACAATTTTGTTTAAAAGCTAGAAACTTGGCCAGGCATGGTGGCTCATGCCTGTAATCCCAGCACTTTGGGAGGCCGAGGCGGGTGGATCACCTGAGGTCAGGAGTTTGAAACCAGCCTGACCAACATGGTGAAACCCTGTCTCTACTAAAAATACAAAAATTAGCCGGGCATGGTGGTGCATGCCTGTAATCCCAGCTACTCGGGAGACTGAGACATATGAGAATTGCTTGAACCTGGGAGGCGAAGGTTGCAGTGAGCCAAGATCGTGTCAGTGCACTCCAGCCTGGGCAACAAGAGCAAAACTCCCTTTAAAAAAAAAAAAAAAAAAGCTGGACACTTAATAATAAAAGAATTAAGAGAACATTAAATGTAGGCTATTTATATTACTCCAGATTCTCTTCTAATCTTTAATATGTCTGTGTACATTTTTATGTCATTATCAGTGTATTGAATGTTTGTCTTTGTCCCCATTTGCATTGTATCATATGAACATCACGTCACATGCACATCTACAGATAGTCACATACACCACTTGGTGTCAGTTAAAATAATCATTCAAAACTTGAAGTGCTTGGATTGTAACATTAGTTTTCCTTTTTAGCTAGGGTTCTTGAGCAATAATTCTGTTAATGAGGAAAATACAATTTTAAAATCATAATCATATACTAAAATGACTTTTCTCGTTTAAGCCTGTCATCACAGTGAAAATGGCCTGAGGTTCAAGATAGTGGTCAGGGCTTTGTCCTGTACTAAACTTTCCAATATTACCTTGTTACTCTTATTTCTCTATGCAAAGATGAAGAGCTGCCTTTGTTTGACCTGTCACACTGACGTATTTGTGGTCTCAGGCCTTACAGCCCACCAGCTATGTGTGTATGTGTGTGCGAATACTTGGACTTGGAAAACCCAGGGCCAAGGCACAGTGGTGGTTTCCTTCCCAAGAGCCTTAGGCTAGTAATGGAGGACCAGATGCCTGTTACCTGTGGTACCTGTACCAAAGTCATATTTCCTGTGAATGTCTAATGTGCATTGGCGGTGTCCTGCCCTCTGCACACCTGACTGTTTTTTCTTTTGTGTCTAGGAACTCGAAGAGAAACATCGGGAGGCCCAAGTTTCAGCCCAGCACCTAGAAGTGCACCTGAAACAGAAAGAGCAGCACTACGAGGAAAAGATTAAAGTAAAGACATTTTCTGATCTTCCCTGGCCTTCCTCTTATAGTAGCATGTAGCTCCCATCTCTTCCTGGGCCCTTGTGGCCACTTCTTGCTAGACCAAAGTTCTGTTTGGGGTGAATACTGTCCTTATTCCATGGTGGGAGATTTCAGAGTGTTACTTACGTGAAGGATTGGAAATCTGAAGTTCCAAAAAAAACCTATTTTTTTTTTTTTTTAAATGTGGTCATCATTTATCTCAATTTCATCTTTAAAATGATTTTTAAACTAATTGTCGTTTAATCCATGATCATTTCTATAATCCTTTTCTTTTTATAATTTTTAATTTTTGTGGGTACATAGTAGGTGTATATATTTGTGGGGTACATGAGATGTTTTGATACAGGCCTGCAATGTGAAATAAGCACATCATAGAGAATGGGGTAGCCTCTCCCCTCAAGCATTTATCCTTTGAGTTACAAATAATCCAATTACATTCTTTAAGTTATTTTAAAATACACAATTAAGTTACTGTTGACTATAGTCACCCTATTGTACTCTCAAATACTAGGTCTTGTTCATTCTATTTTTTTGTGGCCATTGACCATCCCCACCTTTCCTACAACCCCTTCTACGCTTCCCAACCTCTGTTAACCATCCTTCTATACTCTATGTCCGTGAGTTTAATTAAGTTGATTTTTAGGTCCCATAAATAAGTGAGAATATGGGATGTTTGTCCTTCTGTGCCTGGCTTATTTCAGTTAATATAATGATCTCCAGTTCCATCCATGTTGTTGCAAATGACTGGATCTCATTCCTTTTTATGGTTGAATAGTACTCCATTGCTGTATCTGTACCACATTTTCTTTCTTTTTTTTTTTCCCTTCAACTTTTAAGTTCTGGGGTACATGTTCAGGATGTGCAGGTTTGTTACACAGGTAAACAACATGTGCCATGGTGACTGGCTGCACAGATCAACCCATCACCTAGGTCTTAAGCCCAGCATGCATTAGCTATTCTTCCTATCTTTCTGATGCTCCCCCCACCCCAGCCCCGCCGACAGGGTTTGTGTTGTTCCCTGCCCTGTGTCCATATACCACATTTTCTTTATCCATTCATCTGCTGATGGACACTTGGGGGGGTCGTTTCCAAATCTTAGCTCTTTTAAATAGTACTGCAGCAAACATGGGAGTGCAGATATCTCTTTGATATACTGATTTCCTTTTCTTTCCTTTCCAGCAGTGGGATTGCTGGATCATATGGTAGTTCGATTTTTCTTTGGCTTTTTCTTTAAAATTTTACTTTACCTTTAATTTTTCTGAGGCTTACTGTATTGTGTCCAAATGTGGATTTCTTGGCTAGGTGTGGTGGCTCATGCCTATAATCCTAGCACTTTGGGACTTTGGGAGGCCGAGACGGGTGAATCACTTGAGTCTAGGAATTTAAGACTAGCCTGGGCAACTTGGTGAGACTCCTGTCTCTACAAAAAATACAAAAACTAGCTGGGTGTGGTGGCACGCACCTGTAGTTCCAGCTACTTGGGAGGCTGGGATGGGAGAATTGCTTGAACTTGGGAGGTGGAGGTTGCAGTGAGCTGAGATTGCACCACTTCACTCCAGCCTGGGGGACAGAGTGAGACCCTGTCTCAAAGAACAAAAAAAAAAAAAAAAAAAAAAAGTCAATTTCTTTTTACTTATCTTACTCTGCTTGAGATTTACTGGACTTTAAACTATATATATTATTATTATTATTTTTTTTAGAGACACAGTCTTGCTCAGCACAGTAGACTCAGGTGATCTTTCCACCTCAGCCACCCAAGTAGCTGGGACCATAGGCAACATGACACCATACCTGGCTATTTAAAAAATATTTTTTTGTAGAGATGGGGCCTCCTAGGCTTTTGAATAGATTCGTATCTTTTTATTTACTCTAGAAAGTTAGTGGTCATTATATCTCAAATATTGTCTCTTCCCCTTCTCTCTTTTCCTTTTAAGAATTTGATTGGGGTTGGGTGCGGTGACTCGCGCCTGTAATCCCAGCACTTGGGTGGCAGAGGCGGGTGGATCACCTGAGGTCAGGAGTTCAAGACCAGCCTGGCCAACATGGTGAAATCCCGCTTCTATTGGGTGGCAGAGGCGGGTGGATCACCTGAAGTCAGGAGTTCAAGACCAGCCTGGCCAACATGGTGAAACCCTGCCTCTACTAAAAATACAAAAATAATTATCCAGGCGTGGTGGCGTGCACCTGTAGTCCCAGCTACTTGGGAGGCTGAGACAGGAGAATCTCTTGAACCCAGTGAGGAGAGGTTGCAGTGAGCCGAGATTTCACCACTGCACTCCAGCCTGGGCGACAGAGTGAGATTCTGTCTCAAAAAAGAAAAAAAAAGAATTTGTTTGGGCATCAGTTAGATCAGCTTCAATTTAGCCTTTTAAAATATTTTCTATTTCTTTGTTTCTTTGTGCTACATTTTGGGTAGGTTCTTCTGACATATTTTCCAATTTGTGAATTCTTTCTTAACTGTGTCTAATCTGCTGTTCCACTGAGTTTTTTTCTTTTCTTTTTTCTTTTTTTTTTTTTTTTGAGACAGGATCTCACTCTGTTACCCAGGCTGGAGTGCAGTGGTGCAGTCATAGCTCACTGCAACCTGGGCTTAAGCAATCCTCCCACCTCAGCCTCCTGAGTAGCTGGGACTATAGGTGCATGCCACCATGCCTGGGTAATTTTAAAATTTTCTGTTGAGTTTTAATTTCGGTTGTTATATTTTTTACTTCTAGACATTCTATTTGGGTCATTCCCAAGTTTGCTAGATTATTTAAAACAATCATCTTCTTTTCTGTGCATTCATTTTCAAGCCTAACTTTTCTTTCTTTAAATGTATTGAGCATAGTTATTTTATCATCTGTACCTGACAACTCCACTATGTGAAGTATTTGAAGGTCTGTTTCTGCTCTGTTGTTTCTCTTGGTTCTTTGTCATGGTGACTGTTTTATTTTCCTTGGAGAATTATTAATGGAAATTCTTTGAGGCCTTGGATGAAATGTGTGCCCACCTTGGTGGGTGATCAGGGGCTCTCATTGCTGCCTTTTCTTGACCACTGAGGCTATAAAAACTGAAACTCAAGTTCATTTCTTTCAGTAAATACCTCAGGTTAAACCCTTCTTACTTCTCCCTGCTTCTGTTTTACTTAGTTTTTGGTAATTTCTTACTCTCTTGCCAACTTGTAGGTGCTTTTGGGAAAATGTTTTTTATATTTTATTTAGCATTTTTAATCATTTTCAAGAGAAGGGCTGGCCTGACATGTAGCCCACTATGCTGTTAGAAATGGTTGCCACTCCATCAATTTCCTTTTAAAATCACATCGCATTTTCATTATGATTTGGATCAAGCCTTTAATTCATTCTTATGTTCTTGAGAATCAGATGCTGTTTATTATATCTTGAATATTGTCACTTCCCCTTTCCAACCAGACATTGAAGGGGGATTTCAATTTTTGTGGTGATCTTATTATTGATTTGGTTGATATTCTCAAAGAGTTGAGTGGTCCTTTCTCGGAGAATCTAACATGTACATGCTTACACAGCATCATCACTACCACCACCCTGGCATCTTTTACCCCAGTGTTATTTTTGGTTGTTTTTCAGTAAAAGAAATATAGGAGGCCAGGCACGGTGGTTCACATCTGTAATTTCAGCACTTTGAGGGGCCGGGGTGGGCAGATCACTTGAGTCCAGGAATTCGAGACCAGTCTGTGTAACAAAGTGAGACACCCTTCTCATTTTGTCTACAAAAAATACAAAAATTAGCCGGGCAGGTGGTACACACCTGTAGTCCCAGCTACTTGGGAGGCTGAGGTGGGAGGATCGGTTGTGATCAGGAGGTTGAGGCTGCAGTGAGCCACGGAAAGACATATGGGGAAACAACCCAGAAATGACCCCAAAGTGTTCTCCTGTGACCCCTAGTACTTCAGTTTTTAGAAAATTATGAGAATGTATACGGTAGTCCACTGGCATCTTTGCATGATGAAATTAACCCTTTGTAAAACATATTCTACGATTTGGTGATGATATTGATGTTCCTATCAAAAGCCATATTCTATCTTAAATTGATTTAGATGTCTTTAGTGAAATCTCTTATTTCACATAAATGTTTTGCTCCCCTTCTCCCCCATACATCTTGTTCATCTTTCTGCCAGTTGAACACTATGAAAGCTAAGAGAGATCCATACGTTCCTTTATTTATCTGTTTATTGTTTTGAGACAGGTTCTTACTCCATCACCCAGGGTAGAGTGCAGTGGCGTGATCATAGCTCAGTGGGACTTCGAACCCCTGGGCTCAAGCAATCCTCCCATCTTATCCTCCTGAGTAGCTGGGATTACAGGTGCACAACACCATGCCCAGCTAATTAACTATTTTTTATACTTTTTGTAGAAATGGGGTCTTGCTATATTGCCCAGGCTGGTCTCAGAGTTCTGTCCCCAAGCGATCTCTACCCGTGTCAGCCTCCCAAAGTGCTGTGGTTACGGGCATGAGCCACCATGCCTGGCCTAATGCATACATTCTTGATAGAAGCCTATCCCTTCTAGCTCATACTTACCTCTTATCGGTATCCTTCTTGACCAAAGTTGAGGTCTTATTTTGAGCAGAGCCATCCTGAAAATGTATTTCATTGCTTTAGCACCTCAAAAAAATAAAGAGCATATGTGGTCTAGATATTATGTGGTCTCTGCTAACTTCTAGATGGAAAGAAATTTGTTTTATAGATCCCGAGGAATGTCAGGGAAAGATCTTTCTTCCCTACTGGAATCTTTATGAAACCATTTCTTTTTAGCCTGTTCTGCTTTGTGTTTCCTGTTCCAGCCTCTATCAGGCCATTTTAGTAATAATTATGATCATACCCTTGATTCTACCCTGTTCTTGCTCGTAATTTTAGAATCATGCTCAGACATCCAAGAGAGTACCGTTTTGAGCTTCTTCCTTTCTCTCATGACCCTGTTCCCACCTTTTGGTCTTCTCTCTCAACTTCCATTCTATTTTTTTTCATCAGTCAGTTCTAGTTTAAAGACCTCTTTGAAATCTGCTCTTTCCTTTCTTTCTCCTGTGGACTCCCTCCCCGCTGACTGGCTCTTTTTAGGGATGATGTCCCCATGAGCTGTGACAGTCCTTTCACAGTAGACATTGTGGGAAAGGCAGATTTTAGCCCTATCTGTGACCCCAGCTCTTTCAGCTTTATTCCCAGGATCCTGTTGGCCTTCTTGATGTCGTTGGCGTTCTTTGGAAAAGCAGAATGGAGCCTCTGTGGTGAGAAATGTAGGGCTGTGGTCAAAGGCTCGGGCATGTTATGATGTTGTCTTCTTTTTTCCTTCCTTTTTGCTTGTTGTTTTGGCAACTCGTAGAGCTGTGTGTGCCCCAAAGAACATTAGATCAGGTTGGCAATTGGTGATACCATTACTGTTTTATGTTTCCTCTTGGGAACAGTAGGTGCTTACAGTGGCATTCTGAGCCCTAAGAACACATGATCTCTCTTCCCCTGGGAAAGGTTTCTTCTCCCAGTGTCTTTTCTTTTCTCCCCCTAGTTGGATCAGAGGAAAGAACCAGGGAAAGAGGCATTTTTTTTCTTTCTTTTATGTTGTCTTTTTAATCTGTTGACCGTCCACTTACGTTATTGGTGGCCACAGTCCTCTTGTCCCTGGTTGTTTCTGAGCATCATCCTTGGTCACATAGACTTCCTCTGTCTTCGGCTTCTCTCCCGCTTGCACACAGCCCAGGAGTATCTAGAATTAATTTGTATAAATTAGGAGTGAGGAATATTCTGAAAACTACGGGTATACTGGCGAAGAAAAAGTTGTCCCCAGGTAATATCTGCAGATTATAAGAAATTTATTCTCTAGGTCTGGATCTAGAGCAACCTTGTTTCCCCCTCCCTTCTCATTCTGGAGTCTGCCTCATTTTGAATGTATCTCTCTGGTCTTTGGGCTGCTGATTTTAAAATAAATTCTTAGTTCAAGTCAATGTGTTACTTGCCATTGGATGGTAATATTTGACTTTTTAATCTTATCCTGGTTGATAAGCGGACTCCCAGTTTTTGCCTTCTCTTTGCCCCAGAATTTGGAGACCTCGGGCCTCTCTCCTGCTTTTCTCCTCTTTCCTAGGTTTTCTCGAGTGTCCCCGTTTAGTCTTCCCTGCTCAGCTTGGCTCCTGAGAACATTTGCTGCTTCTTTTGTTTTTGTAGGTGTTGGACAATCAGATAAAGAAAGACCTGGCCGACAAGGAGACGCTGGAGAACATGATGCAGAGACACGAGGAGGAGGCCCATGAGAAGGGCAAAATTCTCAGCGAACAGAAGGCGGTAGGTAGAAGGAGTTGCCAAGCCAGTGTTCAAAGAAGGGTTTTTGAAATATGCCAAGAATCACACCCCTGATAAGACTCTATTTCACCTGGTGAAATTCCTTCTGTTGAATCCTGTGGAGTTGTTGGTAATAGGATGCTTTCTTTGAAACTGTTTGCTTTCCTAAAAGCAACCAAGGTGGTGGCTGTGGATGGCCCGTTTTGTGTTTTTCAAGAACTCATGCGATTCTACTATCTGCTAAAATACTGTCCTTCTAAATGCCCCTGAGAAAATGGCCAGTGGCTCTTGGTCTTCCTGCATTTTTTTTTTTTTTTTTTTGAGGTGGGGTTTTGCTCCGAAGCCCAGGCTGCAATGTGGTGGTGCAGTCATGGCTCACTGCAGCCTCCAACTCCTGGGCTCAAGTGATCCTTCTACCTCAGCTTCCCAAGTAGCTGGGACTACAGGTGCGTGCCCCCATGCTCAGCAAATTTTTAAGTTTTCTGTAGAGACAAGATCTTGCTGTGTTGCCCAGGCTGGTCTCAAACTTCTGGCCTCAAGCAATCCTCCTATCTTGGTCTCCCAAAGTGCTGGGATTATAGGCCACCACTCCTTGCCCTACACTTCTGTTCTTTTTACTTGCCTGTTTATCTCTTTTCTAATCCACATAGGCAGTTGTTTCAGAAACTTGTTGCCCCTAAGGTTTACCTGTGGTGCTTATCTATCTGCACCCCACCAAGACTTACCATATCAGAATCTTTTTTTTTTTTTTTTTTTAGATGGAGTCACCCAGGCTAGAGTTCAGTGGCATGATTTCAGCTCGCTGCAACCTCTGCCTCCCAGGTTCAAGTGATTCTCCTGCCTCAGCCTCCCGAGTAGCCTGGGATGACAGGCGTGTGCCACCGCACCCGGCTCATTTTTGTATTTCTAGTAGAGACAGGGTTTCACTATGTTGACCAGGCCAGTCTTGAACTCCTGACCTCAAGTGATCTGCCCACCTCAGCCTCCCAAAGTGCTGGGATTACAGGTGTGAGCCACTGCGCCCAACCCCACATCAGGATCTCTGAGGGAAGATCCTAGGATATTAAATTTTTAGTCAGTACCCCCACACCCCAATTCTTATGATTCATTAAGTTGGGGAAACTTTGCTGCAGAGCAGCTGTCCCCCACCTTTTTAGCACCAGGGACCAGTTTTGTGGAAGACAGTTTTTCCACAGGGGTGGGGGGATGGTTTTGAGATAAAACTGTACCACCTCAGACTATCAGGCATTAAGGCATTAAATTCTTTTTTTGTTTTGTTTGTTTGTTTGTTTGTTTTTGAGATGGAGTCTTGCTCTGTCGCACAGGCTGGAGTGCAGTGGCGCGATATCTGCTCACTGCAACCTCCACCTCCTGAGTTCAAGCGACTCTCCTGCCTCAGCCTCCTGAGTAGCTGGAATTACAGGCATGCGCCACTGCACCCGGCTAATTTTTGTATTTTTGGTAAAGACAGCGTTTCTCCGTGTTGGCCAGGCTGGTCTCGAATTCCTGACCTCAGGTGACCCGCCTGCCTCGGCCTCCCAAAGTGCTGGAATTACAGGCTAAGCCACTGTGCCCGGCCCGAGGCATTCAATTCTTGTTAGGAGTGCGTAACCTCGATCCCTCGCTTGTGCAGGTCATGATGGGGCTCACACTCCGAGGAGAATCTAATGCCACTGATCCCATAGGAGGTAGGGCTCAGGCAGTAATGCTCACTCACTGGCTGCTCACCTCATGCTGTGCAGACTGGTTCATAACAGGTGGCAGACCCATAAAGGGGTACTGGTCTGTGGCCCCCGGGGTTGGAGACCCCTGCTGTGGAGTCTAGAGCAATAGTGGCTGGGTGACAAGGAATCACTCAGAAAATGACAGTCCTCGGGGTGATGATAAATACGAATGTGCAGATTTGAGTTAGAGACTCTTGCAGGCCCAGGTCACATGCAGATGAGATGGGGTTTAACAAGGCTTGATTACTCACAGGATGTTAGGTTCCTGAATAGGTCCTTATGTCTGTTTTAAATGCAAGCCACTTAACCAGTGTGGGGAGATTTCATGACTGAAAAAACAACCAAGTACCATCCATTTGAGTGGTACCATCTGTGATCCTCAGAGTACAGACGAGTTGAGAGCCTTGTTAGCTCTAGCCAAATTGCCGTCATTTCAGGTGAAACTTTTACCCTGGCCTGCACTGCCCCTGTTACTCCTGTTCTGGTATAACTGTATGTGAGGTTTCATAGGTGCCCTGTGTTTCAGATGATCAATGCTATGGATTCCAAGATCAGATCCCTGGAACAGAGGATTGTGGAACTGTCTGAAGCCAATAAACTTGCAGCAAATAGCAGTCTTTTTACCCAAAGGAACATGTAAGTATTCAAATTCTAACTGCCTACGTTATTATACTTTGGTCTTCTCTCCTGTGGCATAAACTGCCTTCTTCTGTCTGATGGAGCTGGAGTGGATTGAATGACTTCTGTAGCTCAGCCCAGCCCTCGGATACGTCATTTTGCCCCGTCTTAAGTGGTCTCACTCTGCCACTTTTGAGTCGGGTTTTCTTAAATGCCTTCAGTTACCATCACATTATAGAGTGTTTTGCTCTCTCTAATGAGGTTATTTATAATTTGCTTGTGGAAAGCTGAGTTCTTGTTCCCCAGACTTGCGTCCTGTAATTAGTAAGAGGTGAAATTGTGTGTGTCCAGTTGGGCCATCCATTTGGTTGTCACTAGGTTAGACCCTTGGGAAGGAAGTTTGGGGTTCAGCAAGGACTGTGTTCCAGGAGCACTTTGATCTGAATCTTTTTCCCCGAAGAATTACAATCTCCAGGACTTTTTGCCCCCCTTGGGTTTCTCTCTTCAGAGAGCTCCCAAAATAGTCCCATCTTAATCTAAACCAGCTTAGTAGGCTGTGTTTTGGGTCTTTGAGTCGTTCTAGTTTTTGATACTTCTAAGCAGTTTGCTGGAGAGGTGAGGAAGATATACAGAGAACTAGAAGGAATACCACTCTTTCTCCTTGTTGCTCCTTTTTCTCCAGGGCCTGCCTTCATGAGTTACTGCGGTGCCCTTGTACAGTAATCTATGGAGGCCCCTTTCTGTCCCTACATAGACCCAAAGAAGAAATAAACAGGCCTGTCAAAGGAGTGAAATGTTAGTATCTCTTGAATCCCCCTGGACATTACTTAATCCCATATGTGAGGGACTGACACTGAGTGGTGATGAGTAAATGGTCCCCACGTTCATCATGCCAGGATCGTGCTTATGAGGACAGATCAGGAGACAGCTAACCCAGGAAGGCCCTAGTCCACTTAGTGAGGACACATGTCTCACTCCGTGTCCATCTATCTTCCGCGGAAACAGGCTCAACTCTAACGAGACTGTGATTTTGTTTGGATCCTCCCACCACCCCCACTAGGAAGGCTCAAGAAGAGATGATTTCTGAACTCAGGCAACAGAAATTTTACCTGGAGACCCAGGCTGGGAAATTGGAGGCCCAGAACCGAAAGCTGGAGGAGCAGCTGGAGAAGATCAGCCACCAAGACCACAGTGACAAGAATCGGCTGCTGGAACTGGAGACAAGACTGCGGGAGGTGAGAGTGGGGGTGATCTCCTGGGAGGATTTGCTGGGCAATTCGGGCTCTGAACAAGCCAGCTTTCAAGCACAAATCAGTATGTATACAAGAGACATTGTGCTTGGTGGTTAAGGGGGCAGACTTGAGGCAGGAAAAGGGTCTGGAGGCAAGGAACCTAAGGCCAATTCATGCTGAATCAAGGAAAAACACCAAGCTTTAGGGGCAGGGAATCTGAGGCCCTTGTGCTAACCTTTTTTTTTTTTTGTGTGTGTGTGTGTGTGTGAGAGAGTCGTGCTCTGTTGTCCAGGCTGGAGTGCAGTGGTGCAATCTTGGTTCACTTCAGCCTCCGCCTCCCGGGTTCAAGCAATTCTCGTGCCTCAGCTTCTCAAGTAGCTGGGACTACAGGCTCCTGGCACCACACTCAGCCAATTTTTGTAGAGACAGGGTTTTGCCATGTTGGCCAGATTGGTCTTGAACTCCTGACCTCAAGTGATCCACCCGCCTCAGCTTCCCAAAGTGTCGGGGTTACAGGTGTGAGCCACTGCACCTGGCCAATTTGTGTTAGCTTTCTAAAAGAGAAGACACCAGGGTCCGCGGGCAGGGAACCCAAGGCCCATTCCTGCTGACTTCCCAGAGCTGGATCAAAAGGAAAACTCTTGGGGCTAGGGACAGGCAACCTAAGGCCAATTAATGCAAACTTCCTAAAGCTGAACCAAAAGGAAAATCCGAGCCCCCACCCCATCTCCCCACGCCCCAGTAGCAAAAGATGGAAGAGGCTCCTCTCCCTGCAATGCTCTCCTTTCCACCATTGCTCAGATGGAAAGGGAGAGCACCTTGGATGGGCCAAGGAGGGAGTATCCCTTCGTCTGCATAGGGCGCCAGTTCACCTCAGCCTTTAATTAGCCACAGACCAAATCCTTTATTCAGAGAAGGAGTAACCAGTAGGAACCCCAAAAGGAGTACTTAAAACCCAGAAAACTTTGTAACTGGGTCCTGAGCCACTTGCTGGGGCCGCTCCCACCCTGCTGAGTGCTTTCTTGCTTTCATAGATACCTGTTTTCGCTGCTTCATGCCTGTGTTTTGTTCCTTTGTTGCTTTGTGCATTTTGTCCAATTCTTTGTTCAAAATAGACAAATTAGACCCCAGGCCCTCCTTCTGGTAACAGACTGGGCCATGGGGATCTGGGTTAGAATTCCACCTCAACTTCTTACTGGTTTTGTGACCTCTTACTAGTTCTGCAAGCTGCCTCATCTCTGCTGGGCTTCAGTTTCCTCATCTGTAAAATGTCAGTGATAATGTATCTCCTTTATAGGGTCCCGTGGGGAGTGTGTCAGTTTGTGCCTCTGTCAAATGGGAGCAGGGCAATTCCTCCTTTATCAAGACGTAATGACAGCCCCGTGACCTAGTCAGAGCTTAGCCGTGGTGGCCCAGTGCTGGTGGCAGAGGTCTGTCTCAAGTGACAGTGGGAGATTAAAAGACAAAACCAAATTCAGGTGTGATTGATGAAAGGTAGCTCTCTTCAAAAGAACCAGGAAGCTGAGAAGAGTGACCAGGTTCTGGGAAGGAAAATATAACAAACTGGGTTGTAGACATGTTGAGGTTGATGGAAACCATAAGGTTACATTTATGTAGTCACTGTATATTTGTCAAATGCCTGCTGTGTGCCGATTTGTAGCCTGGGTCTACAGTGGTGACAAGACAGACCTGTTCCTGACATGAGGGCTTTCAGCCTAGCGGCAGGGTTTGCTGGCACCAGCAGAGACACAGCTGGAGTTCAGGAGAGTGGTTGTTGGAAGCTGGACACCCAGGCTGGGAGGGAAGACAGAGTGTCTCATGTAAAATAGTTGCTCAAATATTTGTGATGGAGTTCTTCAAAAAGCAGATGATCTTTCTTAAGGAAGGTCGTGTTAAGCAGACAGTGGTCTGAGGTCTAAGCCTTGGGTAATACTCATGTTTATACATGTCTTTATTTGTCTTGGATTATTAAAATGAAGTCATTTCTCCAAGGGACAGTAAAAATGTGTTATCTCATGTTTTTTAGGGGTTGTCAAGGTGTGGACTCCTCTATTAGGGTCAGCTGGAGTGTCTGGTTTTATTTTTCATTTTTTGTAGTGATGGGGTCTTGCTATGTTGCCCAGGCTGGTCTTGGGCTCCTGGCTTTATTTATTTATTTATTTATTTATTTATTTATTTATTTTTCTTTTATTATTTCTTAGGTCAGGATATCTCAGGAGGAGGACACCTGACTTTAAGCAGTCCTCCCTCCTTGGCCTCCAAAGTGCTGGGATTACAGGCATGAGCCTGAAGCCTTAGGCGACGGTTCAACTTTTATTATCCAGGCTATACTTTTACTCTTCTGTAAGTTTAACAGCAAGATCACGGGAGAGTTGCCCTTAAGGTTGTGAGTCTAAACAATCCAGATGGACTTCTCTAGCTTGGGAGCCTTGACTGGCTGTCTCTTGCCTTCCCTTTGCACAAATGTTCCTCTTAGGAGCCTGCTCTGCTGCTGTAGCTCATCTGGGCTATTAAAGTGTCCCAGGGAAGCTGTTGTTTTTCACTTGAATCAGTAGAGCCAGCCCCTCAAGGATGGTAGGAGAAACTTCAAACGTTTCACGAGAGGTTCAGGCTCTATATTCTCCCTGGGAATTTTGGAGTTTAGCTCTAAATATAACGAGATCAGTCCCTCTTCTTTTGGCCACATGCTGCTACTGAGATTGAGGGCAGAGGCCTCCACCTGGAGTTTGATCCACCTTAAAGGACCTTGGGCCTTCCCCCAACTTTGTGTGCGCAGCATTAGCTCTTCTCTAGCCAGGTGTGTGGAGTTGCAAAGATGCAGGCTCCCGGGTTCTTCCTTCATTGTATAGCATCCGGCTCCCGCTCTTCCTATTGAGTCACTGTCACCTGCCTCTCTTGGTTTTGCCAAGTGGTGTCAGAAGAATTTTCAGGCTTGCTAGTAGAGGCTCACCCTGCTGTGACTGCTGGTGTTTTAGTAAGACAGAAGGGTACAGTGTTTACCCTGTACATGGTCAAGTGCAATGGTCAGGACACATAGGGATGTTGCAGGAATGTAGCAACATGTTACATGGACTCTTAAGCCAGACTTTCTGAGTTTGAATGTCAGTCTTGCCTTTTTTATAGCTTTTTACAGCTGTGTGACATTTGCTCAGTTACGTAATCTCTCAGTGCCACAGTTTGCTTATCTGTAAAATGGAGGTAATGTAATACCTCCTTCAGTGAGTTGTTCTGAAACTGAAATGAGTTAATTCAGGGCCCAGTGTGTTGTGAGGACCGTATTTGCTGCTGTCACGTCGTCATCATCACCATCATCACTAGAGAGCGATAATAGCCGTGGCTCCAGCTGTCACTGATTTGTTAAGGCTTCCCGGATCTAGGTTGCCAATCCAGACCTTTCTTTTGAGTTTCTGACCTGTTGTCTTAGTAGACATTAGACATCTCCATTTGGATGTCTCCCACGGGGCTCAATTTCAACATGTCAAGACAGAATTTCTTATCTTTTGCCTCAAACTGGCTCTTTCTCTCCTATTCCATCATAGCAATGGTCTCATTCTTTGTGTAGTTCGCCTGTCCAGAAATGTGGGAGTCATCTTTTTTTTCTTTTTTTTTTTGAGATAGAGTCTCGCTCTGTCACCCAGGCTAGAGTACAATGGTGCAGTCTCAGCTCACTGCAACCTCTGCCTGCCAGGTTCAAGTGATTCTCCTGCCTCAGCCTCCCAAGTAGCTGGGACTACAGGCGTGCGCCACCATATCCAGCTAATTTTTTGTTATTTTTAGTAGAGACGGGGTTTCACCCTGCTGGCCAGACTGGTCTCGAACTCCTGACCTCGTGATCTGCCCGCCTCAGCCTCCCAAAGTGCTGGGATTACAGGTGTGAGCCATTGCACCCGGCCGGGAGTCATCTTTGACTCCCTTATGTCCTTTGTTCTCTACCCCACATCAAATTAACCACTAAATCCTGTTGGTTTTCCAGGTTACATGTTTTGCAAGTGTTTCTTCTCTTCACCCCATGGGCTGTGGGATGTGGGTGCCACCTTTTCTAGGGAGCCTTCTCCAACCCTCTGAAGCTGATGAAAAGGAGGTCTCCTTTTTATTCCCATGGCTTTCAGGGCACAGCTCATCACAGTGTGTTCTTCTTGGCAGTCCCGTTAGACAGTGAGCTCTCTGAGGGCAGCCAGCATCTCTGAGTTGCTTGACATTCATCTTTAGGACCACACTGTCCGTGTTTGTCAGGTCTATAGATGTGCCGTGATCTCCCTCACCCCCATACCTTTGGATGTCTTGCTTCCCCTGCCTGGAATTTTCTTTCTCCTCTTACCTGCTTGTTTGACTCCTGCATATTCTTCAACAGAATTTAACAGATCCAGAGTTAGCTCCTCTGCCCGCGTGCTGTATTCCTGCAACATCCCTGCATGTCCTGACCGTTGCACTTGACCATGATATATGGTCATGGTTGCTTTTCATTTTTCTCCCCACTTGAAGGCAGAGACTGTTTTCATCTCCATATTCCATTTTCCACAGAAATTGCTGAGTAAATTTTTGTTAGATGAATGGATGAAAGATTGAATAGATAGGTGGATGGATGAGCAGATGGAGGGAAGAATGATTAACTTCTAATGTGACATTAAAGCAGATTACCTAATGAGGACACATCAGAGAAAGCGTGTTTAAAATAACTAGAATTCAGTCTGTTATTCCATTTACAATAAAATTGAAAAGATGTCCTTGTTACTAATATGATGTTTTTTATATCTGCTTAGCTTTAAATGTTTTTCTAATAAGAGTAATCGTCATCATTTTCATTCGTGATTCTTGCTGTGTGGCATTTCCTTTTAAAGTCTTCCCAGGCATTTGAATATATGTAAGTAAGGGGTGGTTAGGAGATATAGCTCTTACCTGTTCTTACTCCTGTTGAATTCGGAGATGCATGGAAGTCAGGCCCATTTTGTTGCATTTTCCTCTCCTCTATGGAGTGCTGAGAAGGTGGTTCCAAGACCAGGTTTCAGCTCCAGGTTGAATAGCAGGTCATGTCTTCACTTTCTCTTTTGTTCAGGCCAACCAAGGGTTTATCTCTCTCTCTCTCTCTCAGGTCAGTCTAGAGCACGAGGAGCAGAAACTGGAGCTCAAGCGCCAGCTCACAGAGCTACAGCTCTCCCTGCAGGAGCGTGAGTCACAGTTGACAGCCCTGCAGGCTGCCCGGGCGGCCCTGGAAAGCCAGCTTCGCCAGGCAAAGACAGAGCTGGAAGAGACCACAGCAGAAGCCGAAGAGGAGATCCAGGCGCTCACGGTAGGTCTAGGGAGCAACATCTTCAGGTTACTAAAGGCCTCAACTAGAATGAGTGTGGCACTGAGGATATTGGCTCACCCTTAGAAATTCCAGGAGAGAAAACATGATCCACAAAGATATTCAGTGGCCAGGAAATTGGCTTACGTAGGCTGCTTCTTCATTGGAAGTAATAGTTAGTATCTTGAAAAGTTCCTCCTTTAGTTATGTATTTTCCTTCTTTTAAAAAAAAAATCATCATTGTATTTTAGAGTTTGTTTTCAGCCAAAGTCTGTTTACCTTGGTCTTCTACTTTAGTTTTCAATAATCATTTAAAATAATAATAATAATCTTATATCTTACAGTAGTCTTTCTACCATATTTTTATTTTTTGTTTTGGTTTACCTCACCTATGTTACTTCTTTTTTTTTTTTTCAAGCTGTAGGTTCTGCTTCCTGTCTTTTGTATGCATCTGGTATGATCTGGATGGGAAAAATTCTACTGAATGATTCTTTCTCTAAAGGGGACCTGGCTTCCTTGCTCTTTCTGAGAGACTAGTTTACTCAGCTGGAGAGTATTCTCAGGAGGTAGAACTTGGAGCGGGGGTGTTACTGGATTTAAATCTTAGTTCTTTTTAGAAGTCTGAAATGGAATTTTTGTGGGGCCATTTTCCCCACATTTGATCATTCCCACAGAGACTGACCCAGAATAACAAAACTCACAAAAATCTGGCATGTGAAATGCCAACTTATCAACTTTAAGGGAGAAGTGCAGCTGCCAAGTTGACTAGGGTACTCTGGGTGGCCAATGTTCACATTTTCTTTTTCCCATTCAGGGAAGTATACTTAGAAAACCCTGTTAGTCTTGGAAGGCTCTCTGGAGGACCTAGACTGTGAGCATAGAAGGCCAAATGAGTTTTAATGGCTGGTATCAACCAAGCTCATACATTTCTCATAGTATCATACTGTACCTGCCAAGCAGACAGGCACACACCTGCCTGCTGGTCAGGGTGCCCTCTCCTGTGGGCCAGGCACAATACAGCTGATTGGGTTTAGTGTTTTTTTAATAAGCCTTCTAAATAGGTACCTTATTCATTCTGACTCAACTTGGATGCTGTCCCCATTTCCATCAGTGAACATCTCTAAACCTCTCTGATTGGGGTTGCTTCTATAGAATGAATGGCTGTGTACATTCATTGCTTACAATTTACCTAGATGTCATGCACATGTACATCTCTATCTATCTATCTATCTATCTATCTATCTATCTATCTATCTATCTATCTATCTATCTATCTAACATAGTTTCATTCTTAGAAGTTATTGCCTGTTGTTGCGTTTGGGGATCCCAGTATCTGAACCAAACTGGGAATGTGATCTGACAATGCCAGGGTCTGTATAGGACCAGTCCAAGTATAGTGGCTTCCAGTATGTTTGTGCATCCTAGATTTTCTAGGACTTACACCAAGTTCAGATATTGACTGCACATTTAGGTTCCATAGTCTCTATGAGAACACTTGTTAAATGATTCCACATCATGCCCCCAATATTTGCTTTGGCAAAAAATAACCACAGTGTGTCTTTGTGTATACTGTCTTGTTTCACAGTGGACTGAAAACCATTTGAAAAGATGCAACACAGTAAAACAGAACAAAATAAGAAACAAAAGGCAAAGAAAAAATAAGTCTGTAGAAGAAAAAATGGAGCTAGGAATGAAGTTGATCTATAAGAGTTCATGCCAACAAGGCCTATAGACTTGCTGGAGTTGGGTGGGTGGAGAGAGAGAGAGACAGATAACATTTCTTAGCTTTTAAAGGGAGGCACGTAAATTTCAACCACTATTATATTTAACGCATTGTGTATTAATATTTTTCTCCTGTATGAATACCCAACCTCTGAAAGAAAAAGAGCCATCAGTAATTTAATCCATATTTATTAAGCCCTTGCTATGGGCCCAATGCTGTGTCTTTAGCCTTTTCTCCCCAGGGGATTGGTCTGTAATTCCTCAAATCCGTTTATTTCTGAGCAGCTGAGAAGGACACATTTATCTTGCTGCTCCGTTGGAATTGGGAAGGAGGGGTGACTGTGTATCTTATCCTGGCCCTGTTTGGAAGGAAGAGGGCATAAAATAGAGCGCGTGTCACTGCTCTTTATCTGTGGGGAAATTAGTCCTTTAAATCCTTTCTTGCTGCTGGTTGGAATGTGCTGTGTCTGATGGCTGCTGGAAGCTGAGCACAGCAGCAAGTCACGACTTAATTTAGTTAGATGAGATCACTGCCTCAAAGCATCTTCTTAAAAAAAAAAAAAAAGAAACAAACCTCCCTTGGTTTAGAAACTAGGGCTCTATTGCTCTTGCAGATGAAGATGCTGTGGAAAAAACAGGGCTTCTTCAAATGATGGCAGAAGTGCCTTCCTCCAACAGCTGTTTGCAAACCCATCATACGGAAATCCAAACGCCATTTCCATTTGCTTCCGTTCAGTTTCAAGGCTGTGGGCTTTTCCTTCCGCCTTCCCTTGATTATGTTCCATAAACCTGGTTATTGACACCATGTGTTTGTTGCCTGAATGGGTTAGTTGAATTTGTTCTGAAAAACGTCTTTTCCAAGAAAAAGAGAAAATGGTCCCCAAATACCATACTTTTCAGCTTTCTCATTGTTTGAGACCCAAGTTGAGACCATGCACAAGCATCAGTCAGATGAAATCAGCTGGATCTCAGATGATCTCCTAGGAGATTTGTGAGTTTCACAGCAGACCGTTTTATCAATAAAAGGGAATAGTCAAATGTGCTATTATTGTTTAATTTTAAGAGGCAGCCATCTCCTAGGCTGTGAAAGGGAGCAGTTACCTTGTTTGGCCTCCATCCCTGGGCCGAATTAGATGGAGCACAGTTAAATTAAAGCTCTCCATTGAAGGGCCTTGGCGGTGCAGCTGAGAGGCCTTTGTTGCCCTTTCTAATGCTTGCCTTTTCTCCACTTTCACTTTACCCATCCTATCAAATTTAAACACAAACATGCTTTTAAGATACTTCAGTACTTATTGCTGGAAAAGAGACATTTCCACCTGAACTTGATATTTAAGACTCCATCTCAAGGGAGAGAATTTGAGTCTGCACACCTTATCGCACACGATGTGTGATGTGGTAGAAGCATCACTCTGAAGAGGACCACTAGGCAAGAGGCATGCTGTGTGCTCTGTATACACCAGCCAGGCCTCACGAACACGTTTTGTGTTTTCGCTTCTCTGTTTTTTTACTGATTCTGTCAAGTGACTAATGTTGAATAATCAAGAGTTGAAAGCTCGAGACACTGATGAAAGGAATCCTTCTCCCTGCATAGCGTGATGATGGTATCCCAAAGTCATCCTCTTTGATTTGTTAAAATCATGAGTCAGTGCACGTTCTCATTCTCGTACATAAATATCAAGCCCTCTGTTTAATTAATTAGTAAGCCGACGGCATGATAGCCAAGATGTGAAATCGGGGCATGTAAGGTGACATTCTTGCCTGGTGCCTGTCTTCACCTAGAAAGGGGGTAGGTGCACAGAAGCCGAAGCGTTCTAGAATCCTGACCATGGATCCCAGAAGGTGGTCAGACGTCTACACGCTTGTTTCCTTTCTTCAGTTCTGCAGATATTTCCTCCCTCAAGGCTACATTGTAATTTACTCTTCTTTCTTCTTCTTGTAACTTTCCTTAAAATTAAGGCATAAATACTTCCAAAAGAAAGTATCTCTCTGGTCTTAGGGCCAGACTGGCTGCAGCCTGTCAGTCCACATTTTTGCCACCCACCTCCTAGGTTAGTGGTTCCTAAAGTGGGTCTGTGGACTCCTGGGTTTCCCAAGATCAGATGGTTTTTTTCTTTTTTTTTTTTTGAGACAGGGTCTTACTCTGTCACCCAGGCTGGAGTGCAGTGGTGCAATGTCAGCGCACTGCAGCCTTGACTCCCAGGCTCAAGAGTGATACTCCCACCTCAGCCTCCCAAGTAGCTGGGAGTATAGGTGCACGCCACATGCCCGGTTAACTTTTGTATATTTTTGTGAAGAAGAGGTTTCACCGTGTTTCCAAAGCTGGTCTTGAACTCCTAGGCTCAAGCAATTTGCCTGCCTTGGTCTCTTAAATAAGTGCTGGGATTTACAGACATGAGCCATTAAGCCTGGCTGTCAGACTGTTTTCTTAACAATACTAAGATGTCATTTGACACTTTTCACTGTGTTAATATTTGCACTGATGGTGCAAAAGCAATGTTAGTGTTATTTTAAGAGAAATAAAAAATAAATATTTGAAAAATATCTTAGTCTTAATTTTTTTTTTTTTCTGAGATGGAGTCTCCCTCTGCCTCCCAAGCTGGAGTGCAATGGCGTGATCTCGGCTCACTGAAACCTCCACCTCCTGGGTTCAAGCAATTTTTCTGCCTCAGCCTCCTGAGTAGCTGGGATTGCAGGCGTGCGCCACCGTTCCAAGCTAATTTTTTAATTTTTAGTAGAGATGGGGTTTCACCATGTTGGTCAGGCTAGTCTCGAACTCCTGATCTCGTGATCCACCTGCTTCAGCCTCCCAAAGTGCTGGGATTATAGGTGTGAGCCACTGTGCCTGGCCATCTCAGTCTTAATTTCTAATGTTGCAAGTGTAGGTGAATACTACGTAAACAAGAGCTCTTTGGGATCCTCAGAAATTTTTAAGAGTGTAGGTATTTATTCCCTGTAGCACCTGATATCTAATTAACACTCATACATTTCATTGAGAGCATCCAAAGCTTGTCTTATATGTTTTGCTGTCTTTATGTATATATTCTATTGCATGATCTTTTGCTTTTTTGTGTATTTGTTTTACAACTTATTTCAAAAAAACATAAAGCATATGACTTACCATTTTATTACTGTGACTAGTTCGGTAGTTAAGTGCTTACTGTATGTCTGACATCCACAACAGGGTCAGTTCTACATTTTGTATTTATATTTCATAAACAGTAATAAATCAAAAGCCATAATGACTGTAGTTCATTATATTAACCCTTGGAGAGGATTGCTTGACATGATCCAAAGGCCCCATAATGGTTAATTTTAAGGGAAATGGATCAGTATTAATGACTGAAATTTCAGACTCCAGTGGGGGAGTTAAATGAGTTTTTAATGGTGCTGTGTCATTTGAAATTTTACTATTATTAAGAAAGTGCAATAGGGTTTCTGTCCCTGTGTATAAGCCAGTGAGCTTTTTTATGGTCACCACTTATGCTTTGAAGGAGCTAACTCCACTCTCAGCTTCCTGTTTCTGTCTTTGAGAGATTTCACACCAAATGGTCATTTAGAGCAGAGACTGGCAAATTACAGGCCAAATTTTAGTCTGTCACCTGTTTTCTGTAAATGAAGTTTTATTAGAACACATTAGAAACAAACATGCTCGTTTGTTTACCTATTGCTTGTGGCTGCTTTTGCTCTAGAAAGATAGAGTTAAGTAATTCTAACCAAGACTGAATGCTCTGGAAATTTTAAGGAAATTTCCTTATCTGGCATTTTAAGGAAAAAATGTGCTGATTCCTGACCAAGAGTCTCTATTAACATAAGGGCCTTATTCTTCCTCTAGGACAAATCCTTGCCTTTGGTTTTTGGTGATCATGGAATGCACTAAAGGGGGTTGTGTGGTCCTTGGATCTAGGCTGCTGCTTGGTCACAGATGAGATTTTGACATAGTGCAGATAGCCGTAGTCTTACTTTGGATAAGTAGTAGTCTTATCTTAACAAAATAATAAATCTCTCATTATTGCTGGGCAAAAAGCAGATAGAGTTTTAGAAAAACAATTAAGATCTGTTAAATTAGGCCATAGAATATAGGCTAGTTATTTAGAAAGTCAATTCTAAATAATAACTTTTTATTTATAAATCTGTCTGTGATTCTATCTATGCAACTATCTATTTTTTGGTATTTTTTATATTTTTTAATTGATATATCACAGTTGTACATATTTTTGAGATGCATATGATATTTCGATACATGCCTACAATGTGTAGTGATCAAATCAGGGTAATTGGGATATCCCTCACCTCAAACATTTATCTTTTCTTTGTATTGAGAACATTATAATTCTCTTCTGGCTATTCTGAGCAACTAATTTATTTTTGGTTTGTTTTATTTTACCGTCTCTCTAGGGCTCTTCATTCGTTTGTATAGATCCAAATTTCTGGTTGCCATTTTCCATCTGCCAGAAGGACTTCCTTTAACATTTCTTATAGCACAGGTCTGCTGGTGTCAAATTCCTTCAACTTTTGTATGTTTGAAAATTTTTTATATTACCTTCATTTTTTAAGAGATATTTTTGCTGGGTATAGAATTCTGTGTGGAGAGGTTTTTTTTTATTTCAGCACTTTGAAGATATTGCTTTACTGTGTTCTAGCTTTTCATGCCCACTCCTTCTCCCCATCTTGGTGAGAAATCTTTCTCATTTTTGTTTCTCTTAATGTGACATGTATTTTTCTCTGGCTGTGTTTTTTTTTTTTTTTTTTTTTAATGTTTTCTTTTTGTTTTTGGATTTAAACAGTTTCATTATAGTGTGCTTTAGGTTAATTTTCTTCACATTCTCGACTTCTTGTTTTTTCATCTGTGGGTTTATGGCTTTTGTCAACTTTGGAAAATTTGTGGCCATTATTTCTTCAAATATTTTTTCTGTCTCCTATACTCTTTCTGGGACTCTAATTACATGTACGTTAGGCTACTTGAAGTTGTCTTACAACTCCCTGATGCTCTGCATTTTTTGAAAATGCCTTTTTCTTTTCTCATTGTGTTTCATTTTGGTTTCTACTTCTTGTCTTCTACTTCTTTGTTTCTATTTGTCTTCAAGTTCACTAATCTTTTCTTCTAAAGTATCTAATCTGCCGTTATAAACTTACAATAGTATTTATAGAAAAATAGACATGTTAGAGAAAACATCACAACTCTAAAATATTTGACTTAGTTATCTTATAGGCTTTTTTTTTTTGAGACGGAGTTTCTCCCTGTCACCCAGGCTGGAGTGCAGTGGCGTGATCTCGGCTCACTGTAAGCTCTGCCTTCTGGGTTCACACCATTCTCCTGCCTCAGCCTCCTCAGTAGCTGGGACTACAGGCGCCCGCCACCATGCCCGACTAATTTTTTGTATTTTTTAGTGGGGACCATCCTTTTAGCCAGGATGGTCTTGATCTCCTCACCTCGTGATTTGCCCACCTCAGCTTCCCAAAGTGTTGGGATTACAGGCGTGAGCCACTGTGCCCGGCCTTTTATAGACCTTCTTATGGAGACTTTTTTTTTTTTTAATTAAATAGAAGAAACACTCTTACATCTGCCCTAAACTGGGTTCTGGGTTCTTATTTGGGTTTTCATATGTAAGCAAATGGGACCATATCCACTTTGTCTAACAAGTGAAAAGTCTATTAGGGCATTGTTGACTCCTCTTTCCTCTGGGCCACACATCTATCAGTAAGTCCTTTTCCTTATGTTTTCAAAGGAGGTCTCAGTTTCATCCACGTTCTCTGTTTTTGTTTTTGTTTTTTTGCCACCATCCTTCTCCAAGCCACCATCATCTCTCACTTGAATGGCAGTAACAATACCTTCAGTGGTTTCCCTGCTATATTCTACCTTTGTTCCATTTTGATCCTCTTCTCCCTATAGCATCTACAGTGATCTTAAAACAACAGTAAAATCCGTCACTGTCTTTCTTAAAATTTTCCATTGGTTTTCAATTAATTGAATTTTGAATGAAACCTAAATTCTTTACTGGACCTTCAAGATTCCTGGTCTCTGCCTTGGTCCTTATCATCATCTTGGGCTCCTTTTTTTTCTTCATTGCTGTGCTTTTTCAAAAGTTGACCACAGCCCACAGAATACATTTTATTTGTAATCCAATAGAAGGGAGTATATTTACTGTATTTCACTGATTCTAAGGTATCTGAAATTATGGTGCATATTACAGTCATATACAGACATAAACATGTCATAGTTTGATAGCACTTTTTCTTCCTTAATGTTACATAAAATAGTCATAGGTTTTACAATGGAAAGTACCTTAAATTTGATGAGTTATAGTATCTAAAGCAGAAGTTTCCTATAACAGAGCTCATGTTTACTACTCAAGGCACATTCTGATGTTTTCAATTCTATCTTTTTTATTCTACTTCATTGGATACAACGAACCAAAAATCCCAACTTGTTCATGCTTGCTGTTGGATTACAGCTTGCAATTTGAAAAACTCTGCTGTAGCCACTCAGTTTTTTTGGTGGTGGTTGTTCATCAAATGCACCAGACCCTTTCCTGCCTCAGGGTCTTTGCAAATGCTGCTCCTTCTGCCGTCTCCTGTCCATTGCATGGCTGGCTCCTCATCATCCTATAGGTTTCAGCTTACATGCCACCTCCTCAGAGAAGCCCTCCTTGACCACCCCATCTAAGTAAGTTTCTACCTACCTTTCTTATTCTTTTTTTTTTTTTTTAAACTGGTCCCTATTTGTTTTCTTTATAGCATTTGTCCCAATCTGTAATCATGCACTTATTCGTTTCTGATCTTCCCTCACCAGAATGAAGGCACAGGTCATGGGTGCCTATATCCTTCCACAGTGTCAAGCATATAGTATGCGCTAAAAAATAATCCTTGTCAACTGAACAAATGCTGCTAGTTTAAGGCAGCTTTGTCCTGGAGAAAGCCTATATATATTTATTTCAAGTCCAGTGTAGAGTTTTCTGAATGTCAGCAGCTTTTAATGAAAAAGCAACACACACACAAAGTCCCTTTGTCCTGGCTGTTGTCCTGTGTGTGCGTTTCTGTGTGTATGTGTGTGTCAGGGAGGAGGCTGGGGAGGAGTTAGTTGGAGGGAAGAGGGAAAATTACTCATCTTTTCAGAATGGGAATAGGACAAATGAAGGAGAGTAAAACTTCATCCTTTATTGCTTTTTTTCCCCCTTTTCTCCTAATAGTCTCTAGATGTTAATATAAATGTTAAAAATATTTGTACAGGGTGTGCATGTGTGGTCTAAAGAGTTAATTGTTATTAACACAGCATTGTGTATTCCTGTAACTTATTTCTGGTGTTGGGGATGATTTGATTAATTCGTTCTTTGAAAAACAGATGCTAGTGCCGCATTCTCAGCTTTCCAGGCAAATTGCTATTCTCTATATTTGACCCGTAGCATGTAGAATTGTATTCTACCTATGAAAAATTTATAATCAACTTCTTACCTTTTAGGCACATAGAGATGAAATCCAGCGCAAATTTGATGCTCTTCGTAACAGCTGTACTGTGAGTATTAATTAACCAAAGATGATTAAAGTAACATGAAACTAACAGAGAAGGAAAAGGGGACAGCTCTTTAAAATAATGGTGACGAGTTTTGATTCGAACTTGCAGCTTGAAGAAGATAATGCAGTCAACCTTATTTGGAGTTTTTGAGCCCTGGATAACCTGTTTTTTGGGGGTTCTTCCAGTTTTGAAAAACTGAAACCATTCTTCCTGTTTGGGGGAAGAGGATAGTTGGAAGGGTCAAAATAATTCTCACTTGTGGAAGCACTAATAGGTTTCAGCAGCTGCAATGAAAATTCCAAGGCAGCTCCCCCTCCTACCCCAATGTAGACGGTTTCATGGCTAACCCAGCTCAGAGACTCTCCTGTCACCAAGGTAGTTGTATCTGTGAGACTTCTCCAGATTGCTACCCCTGCAGAGGAAGAACCAATGAGCTCTTCTCCTGGAGACCTAGAAATTGTAACTTCCTACCAGGCAGAATTTGGCTTTCTAACATGCAAATTCAAAATCTAGGACTCTTTGGGAGATGTTATTTATATTGAGAGAAATAAATGCTATGAGTGGATAAGCATCTTCCATAGGTTATATAATAGAGTAGGGTCGGTGGGAATTCAGTCTATTTTTGATCAGAGTGAAGGACTGAAATAGGCCCCTTTCAGAAGATGGGGATGTTCTCCTTATTCATGTGCCCTCTCTTTTCTTTGGCCTTTTTGTCACTTTATTACCTTCTTAGTCCTCAGTGATCTTGTCCTTGTTTGTATTATTTGCATTTGTGAATTTCCAGAAACACCTTCCAGCCTCCACACACATACATATTTTATTTACTTGTTATGAGCTCTTTATTTCCTCTTTAGCTACTATAAATGAGATAATAAGTCCTAACGGTATTTTTTTTCTTAATTTAGGTATAAAATGTATCTAGTAAAGCACATAAAAATATAGTAATTTTAAGTATATAGCTCAATAAAATTTTTATACAGATAGACAACTAGGTAACCCCAATGTAGATCAAGGTACAGAACTTTCTCAGCCCCTGAAGGCTCCCTCTTGTTCCCTTCCCATCATCATCCTTCACCCAAAGGGTAACCACTATGCTGACCTCGGATACCATAGTTTAGTCTTGCCTGTTCTTGAATGTCATATAAATGGAATCACAGAGGATGTGCTCTTTGGGGCTTAGCTTTTTTTTTTTTTTCTTTTTTCGCTTAAATGGTTTGTGAGGTTCCTCCATGTTGCTGTACCTATCAATAATTTGTTCTTTTTTAAATCACTGTATGGTGTTTCTGGTGTATGAATAGAACTATAGTTTGTTTATCCATTCTCCTTGTTGGTAGACATTTGGATTATTTCCGTAATGGATCAATCTGTTAGGAAACCCTGTTGCACAAAGCCTTTGGTGGCTGTGAGCACTTACTTCTGGTGAGCATTTCCCAAGAATTGCTAGGTCATGATATTTGCCTCTGTTTGACTTTAGTGGGGAACTGACAGACCAGTTTTTTGGTCTGCATTTCCTGATATGATGGTGGATTGGGATGGGCCTGCCTTAAAATGTCTGTGGATTTCCTCCATCCCTCCTCCCTTCCTTGAGTAGTTGCGGGGTGACATTCTGGTAGTTTTCTGCCCTAGGATTTTAGTTTCTTGTTGCCTTTCTTTCTTCTTTTACACACGAGTTATTTGCTTATATTACATACGTGCGCGTGAATGATCACTGAATAAAATGTAGATCATTTTATGACTGGAATTTTTTATATTACCATTTTTTCCTTATATAAGCTTGGATTTTTTAAAATGTGTGCATTAGTAATCCTGTTCCATTGATCTGGAGTTCTTTTTTCCTTTTTTAGTCTTTTGGCATAAGAACTTTCTAAAAAACATTTTTTTTACAGTTTTATTGAGGTATAATTGGTGTACTATAATCTGATGCATTTTAAAACGTGTATATAACTGTGAAACAGCAAAACAATCAAAATAATGAATTTTATTATTATTTTGGATAAGATTATCCAAATTTCATTCTTGAGCGATAAAAACAAAATATTTATTGTATTCATCACCCTCAAAAGTTTCCTTATACCCCTTTGTAATTCATCTTGTCCCCCATTTTAAAAATTGAAAGTTCAGTTTTAGTGGAATACACTAGTATGTAGACCGCATTTGGTTACTTTCGCATGTAACTCTAATGCTCTCCAAATTTGTGTTTTCTGGAACGGTGACTTCTGATCTTTGCGTCATTTACCTCTGTGTTCTGTGGTGAAGCCTCTGGGGGCCTTCCCAAGTGTGTGTGTGTGAACCTGAGAGAGATGCCCTCCACTCACATTTCAGCCAGAGCAGCTGGGTAACTTAGTAGTCTAAGCCATGGGCTCTGGAATCAGACAGAGTTCAGATTATAAATTGGCCTCTTAGTAACCTATGCTTATTATCCTACGAAGCCCCTCTTTCTTTGTCTGTAAAATGGAGATGACATTGTATACCCTCAGTTCCAGTCAGTACCCTCATTGATTGTAGGATACGTAATTAATTTAATAACTGCTCTTTGGGGGCTGGGTGAGGGAAGAGAGAGAGCTTCTGGTTCCAGTATACCACGTATCCACATTTCAGACAGTACAACTTACGGAACACTGAGTCATGGGATTTGGTAGTAGTACCTCCCTCATAAGGTTGCTGCGAGAATTAAATGAGATACGTGCAAACTGCTTGCACAGGGCCTGATCCATAGAAAGTGCTAAACAACATTGGTTACTATTAATATTTTATTCTCCTGGGCTTATAATATAATCTTTTGTTTGGAAAATGGCTCTGCTGCTACTTTAAAAAGTTTGAAAACCACTACTTTAGAACAACATTTAGCCACAATAGTAGGTCTCAATTATACTTTTCCAAGTTCAAGACCGCTTTAAAGACACTTCAGAGGAATGTGTTGGAGGTTCCTTTCTTTTCTGGCATTGCTGAAGATTGTCTCCGCTAGGAAATGTCATCTTTGTCATTTAAAAATGAGTTATTATGGGAGTTCCCACAATTCCCATAATAACTCAATTGATAGGAGCTCTCTTCAGCTTTCAAAAAGCTCATGCACAGTAAGATTTTCAAGCTCAGACCATTTCTATATTTTGAAGACATTTAAAAAGGATTTGATTCAATCTGGCACCTAAAACCCTACCTAAGTCTGTTTTAGAGGGGAGTTGGTGGGCAAACATATGACACAGTTTTAATTATGAATCAATCTGTCAGCTATAAGATTAAAAATAAATAATATGCAAATAGCTGCCTTCAGAAGAGAACCAGGCATTAAAATAGGATTTCAGTCCTGTGTCTTTTTAGCCTGATGCTCATTATCTGACTGGTTTCTTCACCCCTAACGTGCCATTGGACATTTACCTGGTAATTTTCCTCTGCTGGTCTTCCAGTTAGGTGTGAGAAGTCCATGTCTTCTTCTCAGAACCATGATAGCATTGAAAAACAACAGATCAGATCAGCCCAAACAAAGTTCTTTCTTTTTTTTCTTTTTGACACTGAGAGTAGATCTTTTTTTTTTTTTTTGAGACGGAGTTTCGCTCTTGTTGCCCAGGCTGGAGTACAATGGCACGATCTCCGCTCACCACAACCTCCACCTCCCGGGTTCAAGCGATTCTCCTGCCTCAGCCTTCTGGGTAACTGGGATTACAGGCATGTGCCACCATGCCTGGCTAATTTTGTATTTTCAGTACAGATGGGGTTTCTCCATGTTGGTCAGACTAGTCTTGAACTCTCAGACTCAGGTGATCCACCCACCTCAGCCTCCCAAAAGTGCTGAGATTACAAGTGTGAGCCACCATGTCCAGCTTAGATCATTTTTTTTAATCTTCCCTTCTTTCTTCGAACTGTACCAAGACCTGTTATCTGTAAAAACAGCATGTAAGAAAGCTCTGCTGGCCCCTGTGTTGTGAAGATATCTTGCCCATCTTTTTTTACTGCTAAGATGGAATCAGCCTTTCAGTTTCTCTTTTTTACCCTCTATCTTTGGGGTTAAAAGGTTAACAGACTCATAGTAAACAAATCATTTGACCTTGGTGGAGAGAGAATATACCCAGGACCAGAAAGTAGACCTACCAATTTTCCTTGCACATTCCCTGGATCGAAATCAAGAAGGGTTGTCCTGAATGGTAAATATATTTTACCTGCATTATTTCAGTTTTCAAAGATCTGAATAAAAAAATTGAATAAACACTTCTATCCCTGTTTTAGAGAGGCAGTATAGTTTAGGGGGCAAGAATGTAGATTCTTGAGTTTTAGTGTTGGGTTCGAATTCTGGTTTTGTTATTTACTAGCAGTGACCTTGGGCAAGTTACCTAGCATCTCTGTGGCCCCAATTTCCCCATCCATAAAATAGAAATAAAATAATACCTACTTCAAAGGACAGTAGTGAACATTGCCTGTTACTATGCCTTTTAAAAAAAACTCACAAAGACCATTAATTTACTACCTATGTCATAAGTCAGTTTAATATCTGTAGACTCAGTAACATATGTGTGTGTGTGCATGGGTGTGTCCCACATTTAATATCATGACTCCAGCAACTTGAAACAAGGTCACAAGCTAACTGTGTTACGGCTTGGGTAGATAGAATATGTGTATAAAAAGTCCAAATCAATTAAAATGCCTTAAATCTCAGTATGGGTACTTTACAAAAACATGTAACACTTCTCTTGTCAAATGGGCAAAATAGAGATGATGACCAAATATAGAACCAGCAATCACAAACCAGAAATACAATCAGAGCCACGAGAACCCTTGTAGACTGGATGACAACAGGGAAATAGAAAGACCCTTCTTACTCCAATGGGCCCATCTCAACTGAGTGATACCAAATTGCCCTTTTCCAAGTGTTTCTTCTTTAGCATTTTATAATATAATTTTGGGAGAAAAAGAAAAGGTGGCAGAAATGGGCTACTATCACAAATGATAAATTGCATTTTTTTCATGAATCAAAGAAAGCAGGTACCCAAAGTCTTAACTACATCCTTGAATGACAAGTAAATTACTTTGGCAATGATGTGTTTTCATGTGAGTAGACTTTCTGTAGTCTGGTCTGTTTATTCCCCAAGAGGCTTTTTTTTTTTTTTTTTTTTTTTTGAGACGGAGTCTTGCTCTGTCACCCAGGCTGGAGTGCAGTGGTGCAATCTTGGCTCACTGCAAGCTCCGCCTCCTGGGTTTATGCCATTCTCCTGCCTCAGCCTCCCGAGTAGCTGGGATTACAGGCGCCTGCCACCACGCCCGGCTACTTTTTTGTATTTTTAGTAGAGACGGGGTTTCACTGTGTTAGCCAGGATGGTCTCGATTTCCTGACCTCGTGTTCACATGATACATTAAGGTCAAATAGCATGCAAGAAAATTCAAAAAATTAGTAAGAGCAGATGAGTAAATATAGTGTTCACTCCCATGTCACAGATGGAGAAACCAACCCAGCAAAGGTCAGATGGCTTATTTGGGGTTCCAGAATCCATTTTATATCTTCCAAGCCAGCCTGCCTGTCTTACTTTTCTTTGGGAAGGAGGTAGGGGGAAGCATAGTAGTTAAATGGAGACATTACGAAAAACATCTTAAGGAATAGGTTTACTACGTACAGGAAGGAGACCAGTTGTACTAGTGGGCATTGTTATTCATTGTTTTTGGTTTCAGGAGATTTAACATGTCACAGAAAGGGAAAGGCAGGGACCCTACAAGTCATAAGTGTCTGCTAGAAATGGCAAATGTGCAGATTTTCCTTATTTGTCTTCCTTGATAAAGAAGGTATCTGAGCTAAGAACCTGACCAGATAACTTTTATTCCCCTTCTTGTAGCTGACAGTGTATCTCAAAACAGTACATTATGAATTAATGTGGCTTTTGACATTAAAAAGCAAATCACTAGACCATTAGACCATACACTAAAAGGTTATCAGCTCAGTTAACAAAATGAAAAGTTGTATCTCTTCTGAGTACATTTGTGGACAAATGTACTTAATTGATGTTCTTTAATTCCATGTGCCTGGGGAGATTTTTTAAAAAACTGATAATCAAAGAGGGTTAAAATAGGAAATTAGTCATGAAAGCAATGGCAACATTTCATAAACGAAATCGACTCTAGGTTTGAAAATTGGAAACAATTAATAACTGTAGGCTTAATGGCATTTCCTTTTAATTTCCTTCTTTTTGTTACATAAAATTTAATTTACTGCCTGTGTGCCTCAGTCCAACTATTATTAGAAAATTGCCCTTAAACTTCTAAAGTATTATACATGAAAGCTCTCTGCAAGCAGTAATTCTAAACCTCAGCAAAGAGAATAGGAAAGCTAAATGTTCTGAAATTGAAGTCATTCTGCTACTGAGCAGGAAAGTAACGTAGCAAACCCCGATTAAATCTCTCAATAAAATGACAGTTTCATATACATGGCTTCCCATTGTCTGATAGCCAACTGTATAGTAAAATACGTTAAAGTGATGGTATAGTACAGTATTGTATTTTCAGGGTTTTTCTGAGTTTCCCTTAAGTTTTTTTTCCTTGGTTGTATGAAATTAAATTTATTGCTTGTGATATTATTGAAATAACTCCTGGTGCCCTTCCCTGTCAGTCTTCCTTGATAAGAACTTCATTTTGCTTTCTAAGACTGTGGCCATCTCTAATAATAAGGTCCTAGAGATAGTGTCATGGGCATTTTTAGCTTAATTAGCAGATTGTGATACCAGTCTATTATTAATTTGCATTTTCCTTCCATATTGTATTATTTCTGTCAACTTGATCTCATTCAAAGTCGTCCGTTTCATGCAGTGATTACTTTTGATTGCTTTTGCCATATTTCTTAGATGTGTCCTGAGTTAGAAACTGGGTCTTTTTCTACAACTGCTCGTGTTTAGAGTTAAGTGGGTGGGCGTGGGAGCTTGGACGTGACTCTCAAGGTCAGATGGGCAAACTCATGAGCGGCACGTTGATTGCCAGTGTCACGCGAGTTCAGAAATCCATAGCCCTAGAAGCAATTTCTCATTTGAAATGAATGTGCTTGGCGTGTAACTGGATTCCTTTCCTCTTTTAGGTAATCACAGACCTGGAGGAGCAGCTAAACCAGCTGACCGAGGATAACGCTGAACTCAACAACCAAAACTTCTACTTGTCCAAACAACTCGATGAGGCTTCCGGCGCCAACGATGAGATTGTACAACTGCGAAGTGAAGTGGACCACCTTCGCCGGGAGATCACAGAACGAGAGATGCAGCTTACCAGCCAGAAGCAAGTAAGGAGGGTTAACAAGGTCATGAGATCCTTGGAGGACTTTTAGAAGAATTTTAGGAGGAGTGCTTGGTGCATTCTCCCAAGGGTTCCAACACTAAACTTCATACCCAACTTCACTGGGCTCTTTTTAGAATCATGTCTTGTTTCTAAGTCTTTAGGGTTTTAAAAATGGCTTTTGAAAGTGTGTAGTTCTTATTAATTTTGATTTTAAAAAATTGGGCCGGTGTGGCAGCTCTTCCCTGTTATCCAGACACTTTGGGAGGTAGAGGCGATAAGATCACTTGAGCCCAGGAGACCCCATCTCTTAAAACAAAAAAGATAAAAATTAGCTGGGCTTGGTGGTGCATGCCAGTAGTTCCAGCTTTTTAGAAAGCTGAGGCGGGAGGAATGCTTGAACTCAGGAGCTCGAGGCTGCAGTGAACTGTGATCATGCCACTGTACTCCAGCCTGGGTGACAGAGCTGGACCCTGCCTCGAAAAAATAAATGTAGATAAAAACAAAATCAAATGCTTTGGGAGATCAATGTAAATGGCTTGATTTTAAGCTTAGTCGCTTCCCCTGGCTTTGCTTTGGGTTCTGCCTCTAAGGTGGCTGCAGCACTGGCCCTTCGTCCATTCTTGCCTGGTCCCCTCGGGCTGCAGAGGAAAAAGACGAGCTGCATTTCAAACTGTAGTTAGAGACTTGTGCTTTTCTGAAACTGACCTGACCAAAGTAATCTCCAGGAAATCCTTGTTTAAAGATAAGGCACAAATCCGTGGTACTGATTTGCAGACGATGGAGGCTCTGAAGACCACGTGTACCATGCTGGAGGAACAGGTCATGGATTTGGAGGCCCTAAACGACGAGCTGCTAGAAAAAGAGCGGCAGTGGGAGGCCTGGAGGAGCGTCCTGGGTGACGAGAAATCCCAGTTTGAGTGTCGGGTTCGAGAGCTGCAGAGGATGTTGGACACCGAGAAACAGAGCAGGTGGGGTTTTGTGTTTGTGGAAAGCTCATGACAGGTGACCGCAGGAGGATCAGCCTGAGAGTTGTGAACAGGGTGATCAGCTTTCCCAGCTGAGACTGAGAAGCTTCCTGGGGCACAAGCCTCCTGGTGCTTAAAACCAGGAGACTCTTGGGCAAACCAGGATGGGGTGGTCACCCTAGTTGTAAATGTAGATAGTGTGAGTTGGATTCTGTGGCTATGGCTGGTATCTGTTTTCCCCATGCAGAGGCCTGGGCATCAGGGCAAATACCTCTGTTTTCTGTGCAGAAACACTCTCATGAGGTTTCTTATCAGAGTAACCATAGCAAGAACATTACCATTTTAATCCTGGTCATGTGCAGTGCTAGTCTTCCCTCCACCCCAGGATTCCTCAACCTTGGCACTATTGACATGTCAGGCTGGGTCATTCTTTGTTATGGGGGCTGTCCTGTGCGTTGTAGGATATTGAGCAGCATCCCTCGTCTCTGCTCACTAGATGCCACCAACAACCCCCTTCCCAAGTTGTGACAACAAGTATGTCTCTGGACATTGCCCCCAATATTCCCAGTGTCTCCATTTTCCCCAGTGGAGAACCACTGCTTTACAAGAATAGTTTAGTGGTTTTTTTTTCCTTTTCTTTGAGACAGAGTCTGACTCTGTCACCCAGGCTGGAGAGCAGTGGCACCATCTCAGTTCACTGCAACCTCCACCTCCAGGGTTCAAGAGATTCTCCTTCCTCAGCCTCCCAAGTAGCTAGGAATACAGGTGCGCGCCACTATGCCCGGCTAATTTTTTTTGTATTTTTAGTAGAGATGGGTTTTCACTGTGTTGGCCAGGCTGGTCTTGAACTCTTGACCTCAAGTAATCCACCTGCCTTGGTCTCCCAGAGTGCTGGGATTACAGGCATGAGCCACTATGCCTGCCTGTTTTTTCTTTTTTTTTCCTTTCTTAGTAGGAAGTGATAATAATCAGTTCAGGTAGTGTCGTTCCTCTGCTTTCTCACTTTTGTTTCCACAGTTCACCTAGTATAGATTTCCCTTCCTGCGGGGCCACAGTGGTGCAATTGTGTACTCCATAGCTCTGAGGGTTGCTGGTCACATTGAAGATGTCATAGACTGGAAGAGTTGTTATGACAGATTTACAGCTCATGGCAGGAAACTGTTTTGTTTCTGACAAAATTGGTACGTGATGACGTTTCACAGATGGAAAGAAATGGCCTAGAAGGACGGGTGCCGCTTTCCAGTTTGTACAAAGGCATGATATGGGCTAGTGTGTGCCCCGTGACTTCCTGTCTACACAGCTAGTTGGATCCATTTTTCATAACCTTGCTCATGTCACCTTCCTCTGAAACTTACCTTCCTGTGATTCTCTGAACTCCTTAAGCAAGATAAGCTATCCGTAGAAATATCAATCAATGAATTAATCTGTGTCACACTCTTTTGGGTATCTCTCACATTTACTGGGCCATAGTAGGCTCAACTAAATATATCAGATGGATTATGCAAAGTTCAGCTGAGCTTCAAAAGTTTGGAGGTAAAAGATGAGAACCCTTACATTTCAAGAGAAATGGTAGAAACAGTTCCTTTTTGTGGATCCTCCCAGCTTCTACACTCAGGGTATTTGTTGATGTGAGGGACTGCTGTTTAAGTCTCCTGTTCCAGCTTCCTTCTGAATCCTTAGACTCTGCCATCCTCACTATAAGTTCTGGTTGTTTTCTCACAGACCCCTTCCCTCCCGCCCTCAAGTGCAGCTCCTATCCTAGCTGTTTCTAGGGACCTACGGAGATCATTTTTGGGGTAGGATCTGGCTTCAGCATCAAGAAATACATGACCATACATGGAAGGTATAATTATGAACTGTTCTCAGGAAGACTAGCATTAGTCTGCTTTCATTTCATGTCTGCTTTCAGGGCAATTGTGGAAGATCGTGCCTTTCTTTTCTTTTTTTTTTCTTTTTTCTGTTTTGGTATTATGTGGGATACTGAGATGAGTAAAATATAATTGTTAATCCGTGTTCTCAAGAGCCTAAGAGTCTACTGGAGGAGATATGGATTCAGATATTTAGGAGAGATGGGGAGGCCGAAGTGGGTAGATCACTTGAGGTCAGGAGTCTGAGACCAACCTGGCCAACATGGCGAAATCCTGTCTTTACAAAAAATACAAAAATTAGCCGGGTGTGGTGGCATGCGCCTGTAGTCCAAGCTACTTGGGAGGCTGAGGCAGGAGAATTGCTTGAATCTTGGAGGTGGAGGTTGCAGTGAGCTGAGATCGCGCCACTGAACTCCAGCCTGGGCGACAGAGTGAGACTCCATCTCAAATATGTATATATATATTTAGGAGAGAAATACAGTTATGCTTTGGATACAGAACAAGGTGACGTTGCTTCTGAGAAGAGAAAGTGGAAACAGTTTAATGGAGATCATAGCATTTGAATTTATCCTTGAAGGCTGAGTAAGATTTGAGTTTGCAGAGTAGCAAAGGAGGGGATGGCCAGTGGAGGAGATTGTATAAGCCAAAGTGTGGAAGTAGGAAGCATGATACCTAAATGGGGAAGGGGAAGTGATTTTTTTTTTTTTCCCAGTTTGCTTCTGATTTTTCTGTTCTTTAGCATTATTTATGGAGGCACTCAACAGATTCAAGTTTCACTTTCGTTTTTTCTTTCTTTTTTGAGTTGGAGTCTTGCTCTGTTGCCCAGGGTGGAGTGCAGTGGCACCATCTTGGCTCACTGCAACCTCCACCTCCCAAGTTCAAGCAGTTCTTCTGCCTCAGCCTCCTGAGTAGCTGGGATTGCAGGCACGCGCCACCATGCCTGACTAATTTTTTGTATTTGTTGTAGAGATGGGGTTTCACCATGTTGGCCAGGCTGGTCTCGAACTCTTGATCTTAGGTGATCCGCCCACCTCAGCCTCCCAAAGTGTTGGGATTAAGACGTGAGCCACCACACCCAGCCTCAAGTTTCAGTTTCTTGATGAGTACCCAAAAACATTTAACTTTTTTTTGTTGTTTGTTTGTTTTTTTTTTTTTTTTTGAGATGGAGTCTTGCTCTGTCACCCAGGCTGGAGTGCGGTGGTGTGATCTTGGCTCACTGCAACTTCCACCTCCTGGGTTCAAGTGATTCTCCTGCCTCAGCCTCCTGAGTAGCTGGGATTAGGGGTGCACACCACCACACCCGGCTAATTTTGTAATTTTAGTAAAGATGGGATTTCACCATGTTGGCCAGGCTGGTCTGGGACTCCTGACCTCAGGTAATCCACTCACCTTGGCCTCCCAAACTGTTGGGATTACAGGTGTGAGCCACTGCGCCTGGCCTGTTTTGTTTTTTCTCACCCAAACCTAACATGGGTCAAATCTTTGCTTGGTAAGCTGTTGGAAAGGAAGACAGTTTGGAACTAGGAGTCAAGGTTGGGCATCTCTCTGGCCTGCAGCCTGTTTAGTTGCTCGTCAGGATTAGAGATGGACCAGCCTTCTTTCAGCAGGTCAGCTGTTGGGGGGCTTCCAAAAGCTGACCTGTGTTTTTCTGGCAGGGCGAGAGCCGATCAGCGGATCACCGAGTCTCGCCAGGTGGTGGAGCTGGCAGTGAAGGAGCACAAGGCGGAGATTCTCGCTCTGCAGCAGGCTCTCAAAGAGCAGAAGCTGAAGGCCGAGAGCCTCTCTGACAAGGTCAGCGCCCACCCCTTCTGCTTTTTAGGAAAACATTTTCGTTTCCTTCTTTTAAAGGCACGCTTGATAAAAATTCAAATGCAATCCATGGCAAACATATTTCATAAACATATGTTCATGCACTCCAAAAATGTCCCATGGTTTTGCCTTACCATGGGACATTTTTGGTTGGCAGTAGCGTGGGTGGGTGTGGTGGGTGCCCAGTGATCACAGTCGGCCAGTGACTTTTTAAAATCTGTGTATTTAGGCCCTTGAAGTTCGAATTTTGATCTGGGTGTTCTACTCTCTGGTTGTCTGGCATCTTATTTCCAGAAGGCTTTATGGATTCAATGCTGTGCATCTTTGGGAAGTTCTTGGTGGCAGTGACTAATGCTCATCCCATTGCTGCAGTAATAGGTAGCTCAGCTTCTCCTTGTTCCAAGTTCAGGGTCATGATAGGGTCTGATGACACATTCCAGTTCTCAGTATTTCACATGGGAAATACACGTGTTCCATCCATGTGCCTCTCCATATTACATTTACAGTCATAACCAATGTTTTAGAGATTTTAGCTAATAATCTTGAGAGAGATACAGAATAGGTACTTCAGTGTTACAGATCACCAAGGTGAAGATCAGAGGAATTTTATGTATAAACACACAGATGCATACATAGACACTCTTTTTCATGCACATACACACACAAAATAACAATCTGATTTTATATTTTCTACAACTTTGTTATTTCATGATAGAAAAATAGTTATTTGGGTCATTGTGGAAAATATAGAAACCACAGAAAAGTAAAGGAAATAATGGCTGGTCACCCATTGTTATTGTTTTATTCGTGAATTTATTTGCAGTCTCTGTGCTTATGTTTATGCATATACACACATACATAGACATACGTATGTATTTTTATAAATTAGATTCTCATGTGTACAGCTTTACATGTTTTTATTAAAAATCATTTAACTGCAGGTTTTTTCTGAGTTGAGTATTTTTTGAACATGTGATTCTAAAAAAAATAAATAAATTCCATGGAAGTACCTACTTTAATCATTATACTTGTATTGGAAATTTGAGCTTCCAGTATTTTGCCATATAAATAACAGTGTGATAAATATGAATCTTTATAGACATCATGATTATTTTCTTACCAGATACTTATATTAATAGAAACAGAATTATTAGATTTAAGGCCAGAGCTCTCTAGTGAGGAACACTCCTGAGTTCCCTGAAAGTGGGTTACCACTTTTTTTTTTAGCATGAGGAAACTAGATTTATTAGAGATATGTGAGGCCTTTTATGTTTAATGTGAAAAATATTTTTTTCTAGTTGACTGCTCTTAAAGTATTAAGCAGCAAAGTCCTTTGTATCTTTTAAAGCTCCAGACTTTGCAATACCTTATTGTCTTGATCTTCTCCTAATTGGGATGAATTTCTCCTTCCTAAGCCTTTCTTATCAAACTTAAAATCTGACAAAACAGTCATTATTTGCGTACGTGTCTAGTTATGGGCCTTTCTGACTTGATATAAGATCCTCGAGAGCTTAGTTATCCTTTCATCCTAAAAGCCATAATGCAGGTAGTAAGCATTCAGCATATGATTATTTAATTAAATTCAGCCAAAGCATGTCAGATAAATAAATCCTTGAGCAGTCATCTCCTAGAACTTGTCATGGCTATATTTAAGAGCCATCCCTTAGAAATAATTTCCATCCTCATTTAATAACCTATGGAAGACTCACCAGTGACATGGACTTCTGTATTTAGAAAAAAGCAACCTTTACGTTCTGACCTTTAGAACTCAATATTCTTTCTTCGTGAAGGTTCGTGGACATTCATAAAAGTTGTCAGCATCTAACATTCCTAAATGTGGCATTATGCCAATCTTTCCAAATGTCTAGCTCAATGACCTGGAGAAGAAGCATGCTATGCTTGAAATGAATGCCCGAAGCTTACAACAGAAGCTGGAGACTGAACGAGAGCTCAAACAGAGGCTTCTGGAAGAGGTGAGTGTGAAACACCTGGGATAAGGGCCAAGTAGAATTTTTTCTTTTAATAGGCTTTATTCTTTGGAGCAGCTTTAGGTTCACAGCAAAATTGAGCAGAAAGCACAGAGAGTTCCCACATACTCCCTGCCCCCTCCTCCCACAACGTCCCCAGCTGTCAACACCCTGTTCCAGAGTGGTCCATTTGTTACAATCAATGGGCCTGCACTGACACATCATCATCACCCCAAATGCATACTTTAAATTAGGTTTGCTCTTGGTGTTGTACATTCTATGAGTTTTGACAAATGTATAGTGACAGTTATCCACCTTTACCATATCATACAGGATAGTTTCACTGCCCTAAAAACCCTCTGTGCTCTGCCTGTTCATCCCTCCCCACCCTCAACTCCTGGCAGCCACTGATCTTTTGCTGTCTCCATAGTTTTCCCTTTTCCAGAATGTTGCATATCTGGAATCACACAGTATGTAGCCTTTCAGATTAGCTGCTTTCACTTAGTCATATGCATCCAGGTTTCCTCCATGTCTTTTCACGGCTGGTAGCTCATTTCTCTCTGGAGTCTTTTTTTTTTGTCTTGCTCTGTTGCCCAGGTTAAGGTGCAGTGGTGCAATTACTACTCACGGCAGCCTTGACTTCCTGGTTTCAGGTCGTCCTCCCACTCAGCCTCCTAAGTAGCTGGGACTACAGGTATATGCCACCATGCTCGAGTAATTTTTGTATTGTTTTGTAGAGACGGGGTTTCCCCCTGTTTCCCAGGCTGGCTGGTTTTGAACCCCTGGGCTCAAGTGATCTACCTGTCTTGGCCTCCCAAAGTGTTGGGGTTACAGGCATGAGTCCCCGTGCCCTGCCTGAACTTTTAAACAAATTTCTTAAAAAGATTTTTTTATTTCAATAGCTTTAGGGGTACAAGTGTTTTTTTGGTGACATGGATGAATTGTGTGGTGGTGAAGTCTAGGCTTTTCGTGTACCTGTGACCCAAATAGTGTATATCGTACCTGATAGGTAATTTTTCATCCCTCACTCCCCTCCTTGCCTTCCCCCTTCTGAGTCCACAGTGTCTATTATACCACTTTGTATGCCTTTGCATACTCATAGCTTAGCTCCCACTTGTAAGTGAGAACATGCAGTAGTTAGCTTTCCATTCCAGGTGGAATTTTGAAAGTGACAATTTGTCAGATCCAAATTAGACATTTTGAAATTAGAATTTTCAAGTAAGAGTATGGGGGTCATATAATGCTTGTCTTAAGGTATTTAATGCATTAAAAATATGTCATGAAGGCCAGAGGGTCTCTGTCATTTTTATCCTTCTACGTGAAGCTTAATAGAGTGTCAAGCACATAGCGTATGCCAAATAGAAATTTATTAAATACATGGGTGAGTGAATATTGAGTTAAATTGTTCTTTAGAGCTAATATCCAAAGTATATTAAGTTTCATGCCGATAGGATATCCATGCAAATTAGCTTCCTGCATAGGGCAGAATTTTATCAGATTATTCTGAGTACCAAATTTCATGAAGGCTTTTGAACATTGGGTAATTTAGTTAAAAATAATGTGTGCCCTGCTTTTGAAGCATAAAAGACAAGCTCAGACTGATCTCCTAAACCCGTCCCTTACGTGATGGCTGGTACCTTTTCACAGAACTCTGAGAATCGCTATTTAAATTGATGACTACCTCCGACACCCCAGCCAGAGCCCTCTATGTTGAATCACTGATGATTCTGCTTTGTTCTTTAGGATTGACCTGCAAGGACAAATGCACTTTATAATGAAAAACTGGACTCCAAAGAGTATTCTGTTTAACCCTTAGTGAGCCTGACAGTTTAATTAACCAGAATGCCCTGTTCTGGCTGATGAGGTTTTGTCACATGATACTCATAGCTCCTGAGGCACTTTGCTGATAGAAGTAATACTGTTGTGCTATTAAGTTTGAAAAGTGTAGTGAAATTTTTGCAGGTGAGTATAAAATATTTTATTGAATGATAATTTTAAAAATATGGGTGGCTGAGGCATGAGGATTGCTTGAGGCCGAGAGTTTGAGACCAGTCTAGGCAGTATAGTGAGACCCCGCCTCTACCAAAAAAAAAAAAATTAGCTGGGCATGATGGTGTACGCCTGTAGTCTCAGCTACTTGGAAGGTTGGGAGGCTGGGGTGGGAGTATCACTTGGGCCTGGAAGGTGGAAATTGCAGCGAGCCAAACTGGGTGACAGAGTGAGACCCTGTCTCAAAATTTAAAATAAAGTTTATAACATAAGGTTTCATTTGGGCATTCATTCACCAGCCTCTATTAATCACCTACTATCTTCCAGACCCTGAAGTGTAAAATGAATTTAAAGATGAGTATGAATGAAAGACTGAATTGAAAGAGGCTGTTTTCATCTGTGGGTCTTCATCACCACAATATGTGACAGGTGCTAAGTGTTTCACATCCATTATTGAATTTAATCTTCAATACTCCAGGATGTCAGTACTAGTCATGTCATTCTCATTTAACACATGAGGAAACAGGCTTGGACAAGCTAAGCAACTTGCTCAAGGTCACTCAGCTAGTGTTAGTCATAAAACTTGAATTCAAATAAAGAACTGGGCCAGGCATGGCGGCTCACACGTGTAAGCACAGGACTTTGGGAGGCCAAGGCAGGCGGATCACCTGAGGTCAGGAGTTCGAGACCAACCTGGCCAATATGGTAAAACCCCGTCTCTACCAAAGATACAAAAATTAGTTGGGTATGGTGGCACATGCCTGTAATCCCAGATACTCAGGAGGCTGAGGCAGGAGAATTGCTTGAACCCGGGAGACGGAGGTTGTAGTGAGTCAAGATCGTGCCACTGCACTCCAGCCTGGGGGACAGAGTGAGACTCCATCTCAAAAAAAAAAAAAAAAAAAAATCAGCCAAGTGTGGTGGTGTGTACTTCTAGTCCCAGCTACTCAGGAGGCTGAGGTGGGAGGACCACTTGAGCCCAGGTGTTTGAGGCTGCATTGAGCTCTGATGGTACCACTGCACTGTAGCCTGGGTGACAGAGTGAGAACCTGTCTCAAAATAAAAATTAAAATGAAATATGGGTGGGAGTTTGGGAAAGTTCTAGAAATGGATGGTGGTGATGGTTACACAATAATATGAGTGTACTTAATGCCTCTGAACTATACACTTAAAAATGGTTAAAATGGTAAATTTTATGTGTATTTTGCCTCTGTAAACAATTTAAAAAATAAAATTTAATATTAAACACACATACACACACACACATTTGGTGAACACACACAGGAATTCACCCTATGGCCTTATGAACAACACTACAATGGGAATGTTAAATGTACCTCGTGGTCAAATAGAGAATTAGGGTCTTTTATCTGGGATGAATAGACAGTGTTCCCACTTTAGGCACATCCTGGAAACAGAAAGAACAGAAATAATCAATGCTCATGCCTGTCCTATTTTCCTTCTGAGAAGGCGAGTTGGCCCTGACAGCTCAGTACTTTGGTCCAAGGTTATGTGGTGAGTCAGTGACGACTCTAGGAATAGAGTGCTGGGATCCCGATCCAGTTCCCTCCTTCTCACTTCTAAACCTACATGAGAACATTTCCAGTTTCCCAGGATGTTCCTCACAGAAAGATTTTTGAGCACAGACATCTGGCTGACATTGAGCCTGAGGCGGATTTCTGCGACAGTTGAAGCCGTTCTGGAACAAAGAATGCTCTTTATTGCCCACATTGTGATTGGGCCTCCTGGTTGGTGTGTGCTGTATAAGCATATGTGCCCAAGGTTTCCACCTCAGTGTCCTCTTCATAGGTACGGAGACTTTTATTTTTTATTTTATTTTATTTTATTTTTTTGAGACGGAGTCTTGCTGTGTCGCCCAGGCTGGAGTGCAGTGGCATGCTCTTGGTTCCCTGCAACCTCCACCTCCGAGGGTCAAGTGATTTTCCTGCCTCAGCCTCCTGAGTAGCTGAGATTATGGGTATACACCACCACTCCTGGCTAATTTTTTGTATTTTTAGTAGAGATGAGGTTTCACAATGTTGGCCCAGCTGATCTTGAACTTCTGGGCTCAAATGATCCGCCCACCTCAGCCTCCCAATGTGCTAGGATTATTGCATGAGCCACCATGCCCAGCCTATAAGGAGACTTTTAAATGGAGCCAGAATCAAAGTCTCAGAATTGAAATAATTTTTATATTATGCAGTCTGAATTTCCAGCACTGTTCCCTTTATCTCTGCTCCTGACAAACTTTACTAATGGATCTTTCTTTCACATTTTTCCTCCTGGGCCCAAAATGACTTCAGAAGCTTTCTCAACATGACACTTTATAGCCACTCTCAGTTCATTGGAAGTAACACCAGTGATCAAAGTCCAGTTGCTAGTCCTGGTCAAATTCATCTCTCATCCAAGGTAGAAGATGCCTTCCTCAACACTCCTCATAGATAGGCCCCGTTGAACCTCGGCCTAAATACTTACAATGACTTTGGACATCCCAACCCATTTTCCAGCAACTCTCATTCTTAGAACATTCTTATTTGGAACTGAAACCTTGCACTTTAAAAAACCACTGGTTCCATTACGTTGAAACACATGAAATTAGAAAGTAGTCTGACATCTCCAACCAAAATGAGAGATTAATATTGATTAATAGTCAGATTACTTGATTTTTTTTTTTTTTTTTTTTTTAATTTTATTTTATTATTAATTATACTTTAAGTTGTGAGGGTATGGTGCATAAACGTGCAGGTTTGTACATATGTCATACTGTTGCCTGTTGCTGTTGCTGCACCATGCAAGCCGTCATTTACCACAGGTATAACTCCCAAGCAGGTCCCCCCCTCCCCCTCCCCCTCCCATGATAGCCTCGTGTTGAGTTCCCCTTCCTGGAGTCCAAGTGATTCTCATTGTTTTCAGGTTCCCACCTATGGAGTGAGAACATCGCGTGTTTGGTTTTCTGTTCTTGTGATAGTTTGCTGGAGAATGATGGTTTTCCAGCTGCATCCATGTCCCCTACAAAGGACACAACTCATCCTTTTTTTATGGCTGCATAGTGATGTCCCGATGTGCTATATGTGCCACAGATTGTCTTAATCCAATCTGCAGCGGATGGAGAGGTGGGTTGATTCCAAGTCTTTGCTATTGTGAATAGTGTGGCAATAAACATACGTGTGCATTGTTGTCTTTGTGTATAGCAGGCATAATTTATATCGCTTTGGGGTTATACCTATGTAACCTGTAAAATGGACGGTGTTGATGGGAGTAATGAGAGAGGCAACAGATTGAACACTGTGTACAATATGGTACTATGCTACTTCTATGAT